TGTAGGTGATGTAATGTGTGTAGGGGTTGTAAAGAGTGGTATTTAGGGAATGTAGTGTGTTTTCTTACAGATCTATTGTGTGCACATGGGAATTCAGAGTGTGTATGCCAGAAATGTAGTGTAGTGTAGTGTATGTAAAGGGTGAGGTGTGTGTATGTGTGAAATGTGTGTGTGAAGGGTGCAGTGTGTGTATTTAGGTGCAGTTAGAGTGTGTGTGTGTGTTTGGGTTGCAGTGTTTGTGTGGGGTGCAGTTAGAGTGAGTGTGTTTGGGTTGTAGTGTTTGTGTGTGAGGGGTGCAGGCAGAGTGTGTGTGTGTGGGGAGGGTGCAGTTAGAGTGAATGTGTGTGTTTGTGAGGGGTTGGAGTGAGTGTGTGTGTTTGGGGTGCAGTGTGTGTGTTTGTGAGGGGTTGCAGTTAGAGTGAGTGTGTGGGGAGGGTGCAGTTAGAGTGAATGTGTGTGTTTGGGGTGCAGTAGAAGGAAGATTAGAGTGATATAAATTATATATGTATTGTATGTATTTTTTTTTTTACAAATATATAGCTTATATCCCCCCTCCCTTCTTACCTTTGCCTGGGAGGGAGGACTTGCTGCCAGCCCTGGTGGTCCGGTGGGAAATCCATGGTGGCCACATTGGTGAGTGAGCTCACAGTTACTGGAGTTCACTCTCGCGAGAGAAACCCGGCGGAGCTGTGAGTTCATAGCTCCTGGGTCCTCCAAGCTCTCCATTCCTCCCGTCGGCTGTCATGTAAAGTGCCCCACCGACCTATGCAGGCACACAGAAGGGCCGGCGCTCCGATAGTGCGGGCTCTGTATGGGTCGACAGGGTAGATCTCTTGATCTCCCTTGTCGGTCTCGGCCTATGGCCATCGCGGCCCACCGGGCATTTGCCGCTATGCCCAATTGCCAGTCCGGTCCTGGTGGGCAGAGCATATGGGCAAATTTTGTTTGCCTAGGGTGGCAAAAATCCTTGCACCAGCCCTGGTTTTAGGTAGGGATTTGTAAATTTGTAAGACCCAGAGGTTCTTTTCAGAGCCATTAACCACTATCTTGCCAGTGATCACTATAAATTACTGGCTCTTGCACAGCAGCACTTTTTTGCTGTCTGTCCATTTTTTTAGGGGTGATTTTTTTTTTGTGAGACACAGAGGCTCTTTTCAGAGCTATCCTGACAGTGATCACTGTATAGATCACAGACTCTTGTACAGCTGCACTTATTTTTTAGGGGTACATTTTTTGTGTGTGATTTTTTAATGCCTTCCTTGCATTAGTCTGATGTGTCTATGTCTGACTCCGACCCTGCCAGGTGCTCAGATACATCACTAGATACAGACCTATCCTGCCAGTGATCACTGTATAGATCCCTGACTCTTTTTAATGTCATCCTTGCATTAGTCTGACATGTCTATGTCTGACTCCGACACTGATTTTGACCCTGCCAGGTGCTCAGATACATCACTAGATACAGACCTATCCTGCCAGTGATCATTGTATAAATCACTGACTCTTGCACGGCAGCACTTATTTTTTAAGGGGTACATTTTTTTGTGATTTTTTTTATTGCCATCCTTGCATTAGTGTGACGTGTCTATGTCTGACTCCTGCCAGGTGCTCAGATACATCACTAGATACAGTGTCTGCTACTAGTGATGGATCTAGTGATGTATCTGTGGCTGCTAGGCCCCCTGCCAGTAGGAGACGTGCTGCTCCAGCTGGTAGTACTGCTGAGGAGTGGGTAGCGCCTCATCGCCAGAGGCCAGATATCCCACCATTCACCGCAAATCCTGGCACCAATGTGGATATCACAGGATTTAGCACCCAACAGGTTATGGAGGTGCTTCTGGGCAATAATGTATTGGGGAACATTGTTGCCCAAACTAATTTATATGCCCATCAGTTCCACACTTTAAAGCCTGACTCTTTTTTGGCAAAGCAGCAATGGGCCCCCATCGATGTGCCAGTATTTAAAAAAAATCTGAGAATTGACAATGCTGATGGGAATCATAAAGAAGCCCTCTACCCGCTTCTACTGGAGCAGTATCCCCATCTGCTCTACCCCCGTTTACTCCCAGTGTATGTTGAGGAAGAGGTATGAAATGATTCTACATTTCATGAACTTCAGCGACAACAGCCTGTGTCCCCTCTATGGATTATCCCCAGTTTGACAGGCTGTATAAAATCCGCCCCCTGATTACCCACTTCACTGCCAGGTTTGCAAAGGCTTATACACCTGGAAGAAATATAGGTGTTGATGAATCCTGATGAAGTATAAGGGAAGGCTGGGATTCATGCAGTATATTCCTTCCAAGCGCATCAAGTATGGTGTAAAAGTGCATAAGCTCTGTGAGAGCGAGACTGGGTATACTCAGGCCTTCCGGGCGTACGAGGGAAAGGATAGCCACCTTGACTTGCCCAGAACGTTTGGGAACCAGTGGGACCTGATATTCCCCCAATGAACAAAGGGTACCACTTGTATATAGACAATGTTTATACAAGTGTCCTTTGTTCAAGCTACTGTATTGTTTTGATACAGTAGCTTGTGGTACAATAAGAAAGAACCGTGCAGGTTTCCCAAGACAAATTGCATGCACCCGGCTACGAAAGGGGGAGACCTCAGCTCTGCGCCAGGGGGAGCGGTTGGTAGTTAAGTAGAGACAAGAAGGATTTGTACCGTCTTACCACCATCCACACGGAGAGGACTGTGGAGGTCTCTGTACGTGGCAGAGCTGAGAGCACAAGGAAGCCAGTATGCATCAAGGCTTATACCCTGCATATGGGTGGGGTTGATCTGGCAGATCAGCTGCTGCAGCCCTACCTAATTAAACGGAAGACAAGGGCCTGGTTATTTATTTGGTTACATTTACTGTTCCTGAGTTTTGTTTTGTTTTTTACTTTACTGCGCCAGACTGTTTTTATGAAGTTCCGCCTATGCAATTGGGCATGAGTGTACTCAAGAGGCCTTGCAGAAAACCTGGAGTGTTTTCTTGCAATAACAAACATGCTCCCCTAAATCACACACAAATGTGTGTTTAAAAATTAAAATTGAAAAACTACCACCACACATTTTCTGCAATTTTTTTTTTTGCTAAAACAGTTGCATCAAAGGCATCAAAACACTCCATATACAATACCTTGGGGATTGTCCACTTTTCAAATATATACACGTTCATGGCAAGAAAATAAATTGGAGTATGTAAATAGGCCCCCAAAAAGAAGATATGCAAAGAAAATATGTCAACTTTGAAAAACACATGTCAGAAGTGGTATTACTGTACTCAGGAGATGTTGCTGAACACATATTGGGGTGTTCTTTGTCAGTAACACATAACAGGAACTGAGAATCCATGCCTAAAGTACAAAGTGAGAGACAATTAACACACAAAAAATGACTACCCTAATCTTATCTGTTTATTTTATGTTCTCTCTAAGTTTAACCTTGCCTCCGGCGACGGGCGTTCCGCTCACACATAGGTTCCCGCACGCCTGTGCCACACAGGTCTACGCGGCTACCCTAGTTGTACTTTTACCACTTATGTGGCGCTCTGTCTTACACACGCTCACATCGCCCTCTCCCCCCTTTCCAGTCCACTACTGGTAATAAGACAAGTTATATTTTTGTACACTGGAGAGGGGTGAACTCCCTTACTGCCACAGCACACCTTACTATATTAGCAACCTCCGACCCACGTAGGGGATATTTTTTGTTTCAAATAAATCACTGCATGTTACCTACTTTGCTCTGGGGCCCTGCGAGGCACTACTCTGTGTTAACCCCATTGTACAGTGCTATGGAATTTGATGGCGCTATATAAATAATATGTTTCAAGCGATGCTGGATTGTACACTCTCCATGCAGTGTGAACAAAAAATAATAATAATAAAAAAAAGACTACCAAAAAATTGGACAAACACTGGTGGTAGAATTTGTGCATGGAAAGTATTAAAATACCACCATTTGAAATACCCTTTTCAAAAATGCATGGTTTTCACATGGCTGTGAAAATTCCAAGTTGGAAAACTGGAATGCGCACCCTCCAAATAAGGTCTTTTAGACCCCAGAGAACCCGACACACTTATACAGGGGTGGTATCACTGTACTCGGGAGATGTTGCTGAACACATATTGGGGTGTTCTTTAGCAGGAATCCTTAAAGTTCTCATGTATGTACATGCATTCTTAAATTGCTATGTGTGTCAAAATCACCAACTATATATTTTTTTTAAATTTGCCATAGATTGGTGGTAAAATGGTTGCATGAAGAGAGTCAAAATACCCCAAGTTTAATACCTTAGGTTGTCTTCTTTAAAAAAAATATATACATGTGAAGGGTTATTCAGGGATTCCTGACAGATATCAGTGTTACAATATAACTTGTTACTTTGGGGGTCGGGGGGGGGAGGAAATGGTTTGGAAATAGCAAAGTGCTACTTGTACTTATTGCCCTATAACTTGCAAAAGAAAAAAGATAAGAACATGTTAACACTGGGTATTTCTAAACTCAGGACAAAATTTAGAAACTATTTAGCACGGGTGTTTTTTGGTGGCTGTAGAAGCGTAACAAATTTTGCGGGTCAAAGTTAGAAAAAGTGTATTTTTCCATTATATTTTATATATTTTTCTTTATAGTAAATTATACGGTGTGATGAAAATCATGGTATCTTTAGAAAGACCATTTAATGACGAGAAAAACTGTATATAATATGTGTGGGTACAGTAAATTGGAAAGAGGAAAATTACAGCTAAACACAAACATAGCAGAAATGTAAAAACAGCCCTGGTCCTTAACAGTAAGACAATTGAAAAATGGTCTGGTCACTAAGGGGTTAATGCATGTGAAAATGTAAGCCCATATTGGTAAGTATACATTAAAGAAGACAGTTCAGATGTACAGTGCAATTCACAATGTGGCAAATATAAAGTTTGGTAGCTTTATTTTATGGGCCAAAATACACAAATAATAATTTATAAAATTTCTGTAAAATGTAATAGTTTTAGAAGACCGCAAAAAGTTATTATTGTGCTGTAATATTAATGAGAATACTCCAATTGTAATTATAAATATATATTTAAGCAAGGAGTATCTACATTTCACTCCACATCATAAAATTTGTTGTTCAAAGGTAATTAATGATTCACCAATAAATATCACAACTGGTTACTAATAGTATTTTTATTGTGACATGAACATAATGATCATGTGTTAGACCAGTGCAATGCAAACATGATGGAAAAATGGCAATACAGCAAATTAATCAATTAGGTTAAACCAACCAATATGCAATTTCTTCATTAATCAATTAATGGAATGTTGCAATGCAGTAATTAAAGCAGCACTTTCATGTCAAACTTTCATTTCCCCAATTGCTTCCTCTCAGGATCTGTTCTTCATTTCATGATATCTGATCTAGTTTTCTTTAAAACATAAGACACAGTAGGGGCTATTTTGTCTTATGTATTTTTCCTACGCTTGACCAGTTTTGTCAAAGCAATTTTTCCACATTACTCACCTCTCCTCCTGTGTTCTTGTGTTAATTTGCCAAATTTTGTCATAACAGAATGAGACCAGTTTGTCCATTTGTGTTAGGACGCAATCCGGTACTTTTTGTTTGGATGAAATGTCATTCAAATTAAATAAATTCCGATCCTATGCCTTAAGTAACCTACTGTCCCCCCCCCCTCCCCAGTGTCACGGTTCCGTAACCAGACATATGGACAGATCACAGTAGGAGACATTGCAATACCGTTCCTTAGAGTGGCTGGGCTATGCAAAAGGAGAGAGGTCAGTGTACTAGCCAAAGTCAAGGAGTATAGAAATACGGAACAACGATAGGACAAGCCGAGGTCAAGGATCAGAGAAGACAGAGTAAACGAGAGACAGAGCCAAAATTCAGTAACAAACGATCAGACATAGTAAACGCGCTATTGGGTTATCAGAAGACCACAACAGGGCAACAAGGCACGGAGGAGGCAAGATTAAATATGCTTAGACTACTTCTGATTGGATCCTTTCCACTTAGAATTAATTACAATTGGAAGGTATGACTCTTCCAGTTTGAGCCCTGACCTCATCATTATGTGCAGCGTCAGGTTGCTGACTTGGGCACATATTTAAGCCCGCTGCATGCAGAAGGAATGCAGATGGGACAAGCCACGAGCGAAGGTGCCTGATGGGACGAGTGCCGGCGGAACCCGCCACAATGGGAGCCGGTACGAATGGGCATGGGAGCGGCGGATGGGGGCCCTAAGTTACAGTGGGGGGTGACAATAAGAGTGCTCTGATAGGTAAACCTTAAGCCTTGCAAGTAACCAATCAGACAAGGCTCAAGATTATCCTGTCAGAGCACTCTTATTGGTTGGCTTAAACACTCTTGTCAGGAATACAACTGATCCAACATGCAGTATTAGTATCACACTTCAGAATAAGGATAACTTCTAACCGGACCTTTGAATGGCCAGACTTAACGTACCAGCGAATAGTCGAAATACTAGCTGAGGTCAGGAACACAGAACAAAACACAGTTGCAAGGAACAGCCAATAGTCAGGGATACCAGAACAAAGCCAATGAAACACGATCAGGAACACACTCTCGGATAACCAGCAAAGGGAAACCACGAAAGGGCAATGAGTAGAAGAAATGAGTGAGTTTAAATATCCCTCTTGTGAATCCGATTGGCCGCACCTGGCCTTTACTCCAAAAAGTGCCCGCAAGTCGACATCGCTACCAACGTGGGGCTACATAACAGTGTGGATCCGCAGTGGGTCGCGTCCATCGGCATGTCGCAAAAGCCCGGTCTTACGGCATAGGACGCCAAGCAGCACTTCTCCTACTCTTATTTTTTTCTAAACCCCTCACCCCCCCCCCAAAAAAAAAACCTTCACCACCTCACTTTTTTTAGGGTGAGGGAGATAGGTAGGCTTTTATTTTTTAGGGTGAGGGAGATAGGTAGGCTGCAAATAGGTCCTATCCCCAATTGTCACTAGGACCTCAACCTATCGCTTATGGGTGGGGAGCGGAGGGGGATGACAATAGGTCCTCTCCCCATTGTAATTTAGAGCGCACACCTGCCACTCATGGGTTGGGGACAGGACAAAAGGTCCCCCCCACCCCGATTGTAACTTAGGACCCCCACCCGCCGCTCATGGGTGGGGACCAGGACAATAGGTTCCCGCCCACCCTTTTAACTTCAGGTCCCCATTAAGCTGAAGTGGTCTGGGTGCCTAGAGTGGTCCTTTAAATAATGATAATCTGAAATAGCATTTAAATCCCAGGTATGTGCCAGGCTGATTGGGCATATAATCCATGCCTGCTGGTCTAGCACACAGGAGGCTAATTGTGATATATTCTTACTCCCCCCCCCTCCATTCTTTTTTAATCCCCCCTCTATTCTTTTACTCAACCCCCAATTTTTTTTACTCCCCCTCCCACCCCCACCCTCCATTCTTTTTACTCCCATTCCCCCCCACCCCCACCCTCCATTATTTTTACTTTCCCCCCTCCCTCCTTCTCACCTCCCCTTCCCTGTGCAGAGTATGTGGCCGAGCTCCTCTTCGTCCTGTCAGCACTGTGCTCACTTCCTTTCAGTCCGGCCGGGAACAGGTAACTGAATCTCCTGTCCCACGCGGTACCCGGCCGGACTGACAGGACAAAGAGGAGCTCGGCCACCCACTCTGCACAGGGAAGGGGAGGTAAGAGGCAGTGCGGCAGCCGTCTGAGCGCTCTCTATAGAGCGCTCAGGCGGCTGCAGCATTAGCATAACCGGCGTATAAGACGATCTCCCACTTTGGAAAAGATTTTCCAGGGGTAAAAAGTAATCTTATACGCCGGAAAATACGGTACCAAGACATGTTTCGCCATTAAAAATCTTCACATCGATACGAGTGTGGCTGCTCATTACTGAACGGGGAGCCTGGGAACTTTTAAGCCTTCGATTTGGAGACATGGCATTCTTCTGGCATAAATATTTATATCATTGGATGTCCGGTGGTGGACAGTGCACTCAGGTGGAAGCAGAGGCCTGCAGGCAAGCTTAAGACTTATGTACTTGGCAAATTTAGTTAGCCTTAGAAATCAAACTCACCAAACATTGTAAGGATTTTAAATTGTATTCTTGCTGTGAAACTAATTAACCTTTTTACACTATGCATGTCTGTCTTGGTCTTTTGCAGGCTTGCAGACAGTGAATTGGAAGATAAAGCATGCATTATGGAGGGTACAATCAGCACCATTCAAAAGGAGTATAAGTTAGAGGGGCTCCTTGATAACAGAAGACGAATATACTTTGTTGCAAAGTGTTCTAAAAGAAGTTTAAAACTGTATTCTTAAAAGTGATATTGTACATACTTTTGTATTTCTGTGCAAATTTTAGATTGATTAAATCTTTTTTCTGAAGCGCTGCCCGTGCTTTAACATTTATTTTGCCTATTTTTAGCATTTAAGGAAAGTGCTTATTTTTGGTTCCAGCAGATATCTACTGTTCAAATTGTTTTCCTGATACTAGTGATCCTTTAATGGGTCTACCTGCGATTGAAAACACACCCTCTCTCCAACTACGATGAGCTGCACCAACCAGAAGCATTTCTTTTTTAAACCTTTAATAGTTGGTCTTATTCTGCAAATGCCTGCCTAGCAAGGAATTACGGGACAAGCAGTTTATCACCCACTGGAAGTGCCAGTCATCACATAGGATAAAACATTGAGGGTAAAAGAATAATTGTGACTCTTTACAGAATATATGCATGTACACAAGATAGAAGAGGGATTTGTTTTAGATTTATACACTTTGTATTACATTTAAGCCTCCACTATACCTTTACTATTAAATGAGATAGGAGGTCAGAGGTGAATGGAGGTAATTGAAATGAAATGTGTTTCTAAAGTCTTCCCCAGAACCACCATTACCTCCTAGTCCATTTTTTGTGTAGGTAAATACGGTGTTATAATAAGCAAGAGGTGTTTTTTTTTGGTTTTTTTTTTTAAATACATTTTCATTTTATTTGGGAGAACATCATACATTATCGCCTGCAAATAGGTTGCATATTGTAGAGGAAGAAGTTTGGCAGTATAGAAGAAACATACATTTTATCATGAAGGGCTTACACATCTAAATAAGTTTCTGGATGAAAAATTATACTGAGAAATCAGACTAAATTTTGTTGCATGATGGTATAACAATTTTGCATTTTTTTTATTATAGTTCATGTAATTTAGATTTTTTTTATTTCTTTTTTTAAATTGCAGATTATATTAAAAAGCAAACTGGGGGAAAAAAAAACATACAAAATTGGCACACTGAACAGAGCAGTGGCCCATGCACAAAATGTATTGTGTGCTACCATTTATAAAAAGTTTTGATAGTTTAGAACATGCATAAAATTTCCAACTCGGATAAGTATTTACAATTTGTAGTTTATGGTTTTAGAAAGAAGATGGCCTTAGCAGACTTATATTTTAAATGATGTTGAAGAGGATGAAAAATGCAAATGTCAAAATATATACCAAAAATACACTGGAAATCAGTACAATTCATTATAGGAGTTACAAATAACTAAACAATTTGAATTTCAAAAGTAGCAGTTCAGCAACTAAAAAAAAACCCCCAAAAACAAAAAACAAAAAAACCCATGCAGTTTTGATTTTAAAGAGACACTTACATTTGAACGTTTGTACGGAGCATTGTTTTATGTTCCCTGCGGCCTAAACTTGCATTTAGAATGCTTATATAGTCTGTACAGAATCATTTATATTAAAAATCCTGCCACTATTCCGCATTGTAAATCAGCCAGTGAAGCAACCTGAATACTCACAATAAACTAAAAAGTATCCATAACATCTATGTAACCTATAGATGTGGCTTCTGTACATCATAGGTTTATATATTAAATATTTGCAAAATAAGAAAACATGCATACACAAAACACAATGCCAAGCTTTACAGACTTGATATGAATCAAAATGTACTTTAACATAATGTACAATGCTCAAATTAAGTACCCTAGAATGAACAATCCTGATTTTTTTTTATTAAAAAAAAACAAAAAACATTTTAAATATATTTAATATATATTTTTTAAAGGGATGAAAAATAATTCTGCAAATATTGGGCAAAACAAATGTACTGAAATTATTTATTTTGATCTGTGTTCAAGTAATAAATGTTCCTATGTAGAAATCTTTTCATAAGCCTTAAAACTAAAAAATACCGTGAGTATAATACATAATTTGCAACATCTAATCATTATACCTGAGGTCAGCATTACAGAAGAGCCAACTTTATTTTGGCATTGGTTTGTCTGTTGCCAACTACATGTTGCAGCCTCAGCATATTTAAGACAATTCTAATCTATTTTTTAAAGACATTTAATAAACAAATGTCTTTTAAATAAATAGTTTTGAGGGATGTAATTCTTGTCAAAAATAATAATAATAAAAAAAAAAAGATACAGAAAAATCTATCTAGTGAACAAAAACAAGATTTCCATTTGTAAACTTAAGTGTCAACAATGATAAGCGTGAGATGCTACACTAGATGAGCCTTCGTGAAAACAGCTCCATACTTTCCCATGATTCAAATACTAGAGATAGTGGCTGGCTCTAAACTTGTCCAATCGTAAGTGAATTTTGTTTTCTTCTTGGAAAGCATGATGATTGATGCACAGAAATCAGCTGCATACCCAAGGATCTTAAAACAGTCTATATCTTCCAGATCCTCTTGGTTATTGAAGCTGTTATGTCACAAAGCATGAATCTAGGACTTCTCAGGCAAGGTGTGAGTAAACTCTGACACGGTGCAGTCACTGCGAGTTGTTATTGCCAGTCCCATTGTTTTCCTTGGCATTTATGTTTACTGAATTAATACCGTCTTGCTGTCTTGCGTCTTTTCTGGGAGGCATTCTTTCGTTGATCCTGTCCAATCCCTTTGCTTCTTCAAAGCTGCAGATTTTATGTTGCGGAGAGAATCCTCGTATTGCTTAAAATGCAAATGTGAAATGTAAGTACACTTAAAAGGCTAGCATAACTTTATTAACTACAATATGTAACATGAATAAACTTCAGGAATACTTGTGTATTGCTTAAGATCAACTAGTGGAGAATGTGCCAGTTGTATTATTTAAAACAACTCTAACCAGTTAAAAACAGCACATTGTTAAATATGTTTATTCAAGTAAGTTCTTCCTCCTTAGTTTGGTCATTTATGCAAATATGAAGTGTGACTAGGCTTCTTGGATTAGCTACCTCATTCATTGTAGCAAAGATGGACAAACATCTATAGTTCGCTATCTCCACTAGAAGCATCAGAATTGCAGAATCTAAATGTATAATGCTCAATATCCCAGTTAGATGACAGGCTAAGCATTATGTAGGTCTAAATTATGTTTGTCATCCATGAGTGTTTTTGATGTTTATTATTGAGTTTGTGGTTTCCTACATGTATTTTTTTTTTTTTTAAATGTAAAGAAATCACTAATTGTATTAAACTGTATTTAGAATCTGTTCAGATATTAAAGCAGGAGTATATACAATTGCATATAGTAGCAAAACTAACTTCTAATCATTATAAATAACAAACATAACACTTCATGGCCTAGAGAACAATTAGTTTTTTTCAACATTAAGCCTGTTTTGTTACATATAAACAAATTCATTGCTCAACTGTTCACACATATTCCTCCTTGGTTTTAAGTAACAGTCCCTGAATATACCCAATTACTTTTTAATTCAAATACAAAATATTAATTACTTTTAAGCAGACCTTTCTCCAGTAAAACTTTAAATCAGACTACACAAATTAACTTGTTATAATGCTGCATTCATATTTTTAGAATGGGTCAGCTGATTTCAATAATATGTTTAAAGGGATACTCTAAGCAAAAAAACAACAATTTTAGCTTAATTAAGCAGTTTTAGTATATAGATCATGCTCATGTAGTCTCACTTCTAAATTCTTTGCAATATAGGAGCTAAGTCACTGTTTCTGTATATATAGCCCTCCTTCACACAGCCTGCATGAAATAAACTATTTAATTTTCAATCAGATCTTACAGCACTGCAAGTTTACCTTAGCTGTTTTTACCTACTGCTATATAAATTGAACTTTAATCCCACACAGGAGACTGTTGTAATTTCTAGCAGGAAATTAACAGAGCAGAAAATAAATTTTCATCTAAACACACTGTGAAATAAGGAAAGTTAAAAAATGTGTAGGGAGGCTGTCTTAGTCAGGGAAGATGTGGCAAGGGCTAAACTCCTAAATTGCAGAGAATTAAGAAGTTAGACTGCATGGACATGGTCTATACACCAAAACCACTTAATTAAGCTAAAGTCATTTGATGTGGCGTTTCCGTAAAAAAAATTATCTACCAATAAACATGGGATTTTTTTGACACAATCATTCTCTAATGGAACAAAAATTTTTTGGGTTGACACAAATTATAGGAGCTAATTAAAATCCCCTGGACATAGGATCCTATTTCAATTTTCTTAGTTCCACCTATCACAGTCATGTCTGGGTTTTCTATCCCAGAAACAAGACCATACCAGTTTGTGTGGCGAAGCTGATTCAGTTTTCTCTGATACCCCCCTAGAATCTAGTTTACCCACAGACAGGGTTTAAAGAACTCTCTAAACTGTTTAAACAACAGATAAGAGTAGGTTGGGAGGTATCATCCCTACAGAATTACTTACAAAAAGAAATGATACCCCGGGGTTTACAAATACAAATCACACCAACTAACAATATTGATGAGGAAGAATTTGTAAGAGAGTGGGAGGAAGCGGCTAATAAATGCTCCAAAACCTTCATGGAAATTATAAGCAAATATGAATCGAAAAGATTATTAAAAATTAGCGAACAAGTGGACAGCGAGGTTACTAAGATACAAAAATTCAAAAATGACGAACAGTTTGAACAAATGGAAGCCAAACTTAAGGCTAATCTTGACAAAGTTAAGAACACTATTAAGTCAAGAAAGCACCACAAATTCGTAAGAGACACCAAAGATTACTAATCTGGTAATGTCAATAGAAAATTCAGGAGAGTGGTTCAGTACGACTCGGACCAATATATGACTTCTGGATATGAAACAGACACAGATTCCAAAACACCTACCGCACAACCCACTTCTACACAAACACAACAACATCATAAAGGCATATTGAAAAAGGGGGTGAATTTTTTAGGGGTAAGCCCACGAAAAACCAACCATCCTTATTGGACGAGACAAGGGAGATCACAAGGCAAAAGAGGCAGATAGAGCACAGTTCTAGAATAGTCAATTTGTCAAACACTACTTTAACAGCTAACCAAGAAAAAGTTTTGGAAAAAGGTCTATCTTTTGTTCCAATACCCAAGTTTAACAAATTCAGTTGGACAAAATACATTCACTTATTTGCTAGAAAGCTAGCTTTGTATAAATACCATGAAATTCAAAAGGAGAAAAAAGCCAAAAGTCTAGGTTTGACAGTAAAGGACTTAGAAGGTGTCTCTGACCTCGTTTCAATCTTGGAGGACAATGAGAGAACAAAGATGTCTCAAGCTTACACATCCCTGAAAAAGTCAGTTTACCCCTAACTTTAAAGAATACCGGAGTATAGACATATTTGTAGAAATGCGATTGAACATATCCAGGAAGCTAGTTTGGAGTTAGTCCCCCATGGCAATTTTACCAATCAGGAATGGTTTGCCTTAAATGATCTCAAGAAAAATGAATCCCTCATCATTAAACCTGCTAATAAGGGGGGTTGGGGAGGAATGTGGTATTGATGGATAGAGAGGGCTATATAACAATGGTTCAGGCTAAAGGATGAATCCACTTATAGAGTCTTGAAGAAGAATCTGACCATTTCATACCTGACTGAATATAAACGCCTTTTAGATGAAGCCTTAGATAGTGGTATTCTATCTAAAGATGAATTTAGCTTCATCTACAATAAGTCACCCAAAATTGCAACATTCTATGGTCTACCTAAGATACATAAACAATATGCTCAACTCACGGGTAGACCTATAGTATCTAGGGTGGACACTATAACCCCAAATGGGAGCCAATACATCGATCAGGTATTGAGAAAATTTGTAGTGTCCTTACCATCTTACCTTAAGAATACTAAGGAGACTCTGGGACTCCTACTGAACAAACAACTACCACAAGAGCACTTTTATGTAGCCTTGATGTGGAGTCCCTCTACAAGTCAATAACACAATATCGGTCTTGAACACACTAAGTACTTTCTGGAGACAAGGGGCCCAGAACACCAGACACACACGAGTTCGTCTTAAAACTTTTACGATTCATCCTCACCCACAACTTTTTTTCTTTTTAATAACACATTTTACTTACAGGTGCAGGGGATTGCGATGGGAACAGCTTATGGGTTGGTGGAAAAAAATGGTAGTCTTTTCGGAGAAATCTACCCGATTTACCCAACTTATCCACACATGGAAGTGTTACATCGATGACTTGCTAATAATTTGGATAAGTTCATCTGACATCTTTGATGAATTTGTGGATTATCTAAATCGGAATGAGATGAATCTCAGACTCACAAGAGAAGTGGGCAGTCCCTCTCTAAATTTCCTGGACCTCAAAATTACCATTGACGAGAACAATTTTTTGCAAATCTCTCTTTTCAGAAAACCCACAGCCACAAATAGTCTGTTACAATGGGAAAGTTTCCATCCTAAACCCCTGAAAAGAGGAATTCCCACTGGCCAATATTTGAGAGTACGTAGGAATTGCTCCACTTTGGAAGAATTTAAATTAAAAGCAAAAGACCTACGTACAAAATTTAAGGAATGGTGGTACCCGAATCGCTGTCAAAAGGGCCCTTGATATGGACCGAGAAACCATGCTCTTGAATACACATAAAGATCTACAAGACAAACAAATAAGATGCATCGCTGAGTATGACCAGGGATGGGAAGTAGCAAAATCCATCCTGAACAGATTCTGGCCTATACTCACGCAAGACACGCACTGGAATCAAGTTCTTACACCCTATGCAGTCCTGACAGCCAGAAGGGGCAAAAACTTACAGGACCTGTTGGTACCCAGCCATTTCTCGGGCATAAGACCCTCACAGACTTGGCTAAAAAATACCTTGATAGGTACTTACCAGTGTGGGAGATGTTCGGCGTGTAGGTTCATCTCTAGAGACTCCAAAACTATTCAGGACTCAGCTAAGAATGTCATTTCACCAGTAAGGGACTTCTTTAATTGTAAGACCACTGGGGTAGTATACTTACCTGCTCATGTGGGAAAAAATATGTAGGCAAGACATTCAGACAACTCAAACTCTGTATTCTTGAGCATTTTTGCTCAGTGCGATATAGAAGTGATACTCCTATATCTAGACACCTCTGGGAACAACATGCAGATCGCTCCAATGACCTACGTTTCCAGAGTATTGAACATGTCAAACTAGATCAAAGAGGGGGCAACCTGAATCGTCTCCTCAGGCAGAGAGAATCCTTTTGGATTTATAAATTGAAGACCTTGGCACCATTAGGTCTCAACAAGGGGTTTACATACTCCCCCTTTCTATGACTGTACGTACCACTGTGATTACAATGCCTAACATCTCCTAGGATCCTACTTGTCATTACTGACAGTCTTGTCATTTTGAGCTATTATTTGTACTTCATTTTGGCTCATTTCCAGATTGCGTCATTTCACTTGTTTGCATTAAGGCATTCATCCTCCCCCTGTCCCATGTAAAGGATCATAAATATGAATGATATATATAAATAGTATTAAATAGTCCCACATCTGTACATTGGTTTACTTTAAGGAACATTATTAGAGTATACCTCTAACATCTTTCTATTGAAATTCATGAATATACTCTGTCTATAGGTCTTTGCACTATGAATCAATTGTGTTATTACAACTAGAACAGAGCTACCAAGTGAGGTTGCCGACTCCATTCGGCACCTCAGTGGTTATTGGCATTCATGGTATTATACAGTTTCCACTTCGGCACCGAGGGGTGGAGTTTTTGTATACGTTAGAGTAATTGTACCTCCCCCATTTCAGTGCCGGAGTGGTTGATCGCTTTTGACTAAATCCTGTAATGACGAATAATAAGTGATTCTGCACTCTCCGCTCCGATCGGGAGTGCTTAATGACTTGTATAAAATTATGCCGTCCTCACTATGTTTGACGGCTATAAGGACCTGTGCCATAATCATTCCTGCAATAGAAGGGTTAAGGTTCCTTTCTTTGATGTGTAGACAGTGACTTCTAGTCACACCCAATACACGCCTACTGTATATTGATTGGCTTTCGTTCATTTGTGGGTGGGCATTAGGTTCCATTGGGAACCTTTAACCCCTTAAGGACACATGACATGTGTGACATGTCATGATTCCCTTTTATTCCAGAAGTTTGGTCCTTAAGGGGTTAAAAAGGGATCTGAGAGGGCTGACGACCACTAGCCCCAGACGAAGGCGCATTTCATAGCACCGAAACACGCGTTGGGCATTTTACGCTTTATTTTCTTTTTGTTTAACTTGGGGTGTAGATATATAGGGACCTTGGGCTGCTGCTTATCTCCACATCTAGGGTTTAGCTTTTTGTTATGTTTTTTTATGACAACTAACTTACCCTAGGTTCCTGTTGGCTGTATGAGTTACTTAAGTATTGAGTATTAGCCTTCTAACTTAGTTAGTCCTTACTCGCTTGGGAGTGTGCATATATCCCTGCGAGTTAACTGGACCATAAGCACTTATATGATGGGGGGATATGTACATCCTTCTTAACCTTCCCATTATTGCTACTCATATTTATTATAATTTTGTTTGAGGCGATAGGGGTTCTTTCAATAGAGCCAGACTTGGAGGATTTTAGGTTGCATTCTTGCATGAGTACTTAAGGGGGGCTGGTTTATGGCACGTATCGTACGAGTCAGTTTCACTGCTCTATGACTATTCTTTAGTGCCTATTACCGATCTCGGATGTGTATTTACCTTCCCCAGTGTATTTCTAGTACTCTCTGCGATCTCACCTTTCCCCAATAGGCTCTCTCATTCCCCTTTACTCAGTACTTGGCCCGTCTGTCTCATCTGTTTTTTGAGGCAGGTGCCTCTAGGCATCGCTACCTCCTCTTATGGAGAAGTTCTGTGAAGAAATGACTCCGTTCATCAGGATTTCTACCTTTGTTGCACAAGTTAATTCACCCAATTCAGCTGGAATTCGGCATATAGCTATAATTTCTACCATTCGAATGGATTCAGGCGAATTCCCCGTGTAAACTCTAGGTGGCCGCCATTTCGGCACTTTACACGTGGTCGCGGCCATTTTACGTGCGAACAGCGGTGTTTGCCCGTCAAACGCGTGGAACTAAAATCGGATACACAAACAGGCGAACACCGCTGAGACCTCCATACATCCAGAACTTCGCACGGAAAAAACCGAATGACCGGCCGTTCGGTAGTTACATGCAACTTCGTATGGGGATTTCAACGACCACGAAGATGCGAACGGATGGCAGGACTTTCGTCTTTTTTATTCGCCTAAACGGAGACCGACCGCAGGGCCAAAACTTATGGAACTATTTTCGGCTAGATGATCCGTGCGGTCGGTCAAAACTTTAGTGCTCCATAGCTCCCGAACCATCCATCCGAATGGACTGATTTTTTGACATATTGTCCCCACAAGTGAGCACTATCCAGCGGTGCCCAATTTAAAGGTGTACCCCCTGTTTTTGGGGTACATCCAGAACTGGGGTAAAATAGTGCACGTTTTAATGAAGTTAACTGTTTATCAGAGGGGAGGGAGGTAGGGGCTGTAACCTGTACCTGATTGGTGATTTAATGCCTCCCCCTGGGTGTGTATTTTTTGTCTGTAACCCTAATAAAAAGCAGGCTGGAGATTCCAGACCTCAGATCTACTTGTAACCTGATTCTGGACTCTGACTGTTATTTGGGAATTCGTATGCTTTACCAAGGGGATTATCTTGGGAAGCTGTTATATTTCTTATGGACTTCATTGTTTAGAACTACCTTAGACGCTGGCATTGCAGGAGGAATTATCAAAGCGGTTCAGCTATACTTGATTTCCTTACAACTGGTGGCAGCGGTGGGATTCGAATCCCAAATGGACACTTCAAAACAAGCAAAGGAATGAATGGCTCAGCAGTACCAGCTACTTAAAAGAACCACGCTAAAGGACTTACTGGAAGCTCGAGGCAGAGTGGCAAGTAACAAAACAAAAGCCACGATAATTGCGGAGTTAATGCAGAGCGATAATATCAGTAATATAGAGATGGATCAAGAGGAAGAAACCGTGATGCAAAAGGACATCCGATGGACACTCAGTTTATTGGGACCCAATCCATCCTCAGAGGCGATACTGCAGGTCGTAGCACAAGCCAGACAAGCGCAAAAAGAGCGAGATGACCGGGACAGAGCGTCACAGGGGGATTTGCTACACCCCCCGAGAGGTATTGGGGAAATGCCAAAGAAGGTAAATTATGCAGCGTTTAAATCATTTGTTGACAATGAAATGGAAATCGACAGTTACTTGCAAGACTTTGAACGTCAGTGTGCACTGGAGGGATTAGACTCCACCAAATGGGCTGCAGTCGTCAGCAGTAAATTGTCAGGTAGAGCAGCCGAGGCGCTGCGAGCAGTACCTGAGGGGGACATACATAATTATGAGAAAATAAAAGACATTTTGTTGGCCAGATATGCGGTAACTCCGGAGGCATACCGGAAAAAGTTTAGAGAACTGAGAAAGACTGGGAGAGATTCCCATACGGAATGGGCTTTTCGCCTGCAGCGGGCAGCCCGCAATTGGATGAAGGGCTGCCAGGCAACCACCCTAGAAGAGGCTTTACAACTAGTGATACTGGAGCAATTTTTTAATCATACTGCAGAGGACATAAAAGACTGGGTAAAAGATAGGAAACCAAAAACCGTGGAGGAGGCCGCTAGGCTAGCGGACGAGTACCAGGATAACAGGAGGAAAGAGCAAGGGGCGAGCAGACCACCATTTAAGCCTCAGTACACAGCTCCAACCAACCCGGCTCCACCTAGACCTGCCATAGGTAACCCCCCACCGAACCCAGCAAACACACCTCGACCTCCTGCAGTGTGTCACTACTGCAAGCAACCAGGACACTACAAGTATCAGTGCCCTCGCTTAAACCGGGGAAGCTGGGAACGGCCCGCCCCACAACAACCCAGGGCAGCTGCGCACTGTGTGCAACAGGATCACACAGGCCCTGGCCTTAACCACGAAGAACAGTGGAGTGTATTACATGAGGTTAATCCAGTACAAGCTGGGGGGGACAACCGGGACCATCACCGCCAATGGATTACCGTCGATGGCGTGGGGGCCCGGGCGCTGAGAGACTCTGGGGCTACTTTGACTGTGGTACAGCCCCACACGGTCAGAGCGCAAGCGCGCACCGGACGCACAGTCGCTGTAAGGGTGGCTGGGGGCGCTATTCACAAACTGCCCACCGCTAATATGTTTGTTGATTGGGGTTCCGGGTCTAAACAACTGGAGGTGGGGATTATGCAAGAACTGCCCGCCGAGGTTTTGTTGGGAAATGATGTGGGATGCCTAACCTCCCAACTAGCCCGAGACCCCCCTGCCGAGGCCTACCCGGTTACCACCCGAGCTCAAGCCAGACTGGAAGCTCCGCTGCACTCTGAGGAGAACCAGGTAAGAGTCGAAATACCCCCTTTACCCGATCCCCCCGTACCCTTCTGGGATACCCCCCAGGGGTTTGAACAGGAACAGCGTACTGACCCCACATTAGAAGGCTATAGGAAGGCCGCGGCCGCTACCCCCGAGAACAACCCGCACGAAAAATTTGAATGGTATAAGGGGTTGCTATATAGGGTAACCGAGGGGGTGGGACAGGGGGCTACCCAGGTCATAAAAAGACAGTTAGTTGTGCCCCGTAAATTTCGGGCTGAGTTGTTAAAACTCAGTCATGACATTCCCCTAGCAGGACATTTAGGGGTCAAAAAGACCAGAGACAGGTTAACTCAAACCTTCTTCTGGCCCAGAGCTACCCAGGACCTAAAGTACTATTGTAGGACATGTGATGTATGCCAAAGGGTAGGAAAAAGGGGAGACCTTCGGAAGGCTAAGCTTCACCCCCTACCCATCATCGAACAGCCCTTCCACCGAGTAGCGGTGGATTTAATAGGTCCACTCAGTCGCCCCAGTCCGTCGGGCAAAAAGTTTATCCTAACGGTGGTTGACTACGCCACTAGATACCCGGAGGCAGTCGCCCTCACCAATATAGAGGCCGAGACCGTGGCAGAGGCCCTTATTCAGATATTCACCCGAGTAGGTTTCCCGCAGGAGATACTCTCCGATCGGGGGACGCAGTTCACAGCCACCCTGACGCAACAACTGTGGCAGAGCTGCGGAGTGCAGCCCCTGTTCAGCGCCCCGTATCATCCCCAGACTAACGGGCTCTGTGAACGTTTCAATGGCACTCTAAAACAGATGCTAAAAACTTTTACAGAGTCCCACAAGAATTGGGAAAAATTCCTTCCCCACCTTCTGTTTGCCTACCGTGAGGTGCCCCAGGCCTCCACTGGGTTTTCCCCCTTCGAACTCCTGTACGGGAGAAAAGTTCGGGGCCCACTGGAGCTCGTACGGGAACACTGGGAGGGCAATACAGATGAGGGGGGAGTCCCTATCGTCCAGTATGTCCTGGAGTTCCGGGACCGTCTGCGGGCCCTCACCGAATCGGTTCGGGAGAACCTGCAGGCGGCCCAGGAGGACCAGAAAAAGTGGTACGATAGGAGGGCCCAGGATAGAGTGCTGGACTTAGGGCAGAAGGTACTGGCTCTGAGGCCCGTTAAAAAGGACAAGCTGCAAGCAGCCTGGCAGGGACCCTTTAAGGTAGTGGAACAGGTTAGCGAGACTACCTACATCGTGAGCAAATGCTCAGATGAAAGGCTGACCAAAGCCTTCCATGTGAACATGCTCAAACCATATTTTGAAAGGACAGAGGAGGTGGGCGCCGTGTGCGCCCCCGCCACAGAGGATAGTGAAGGGCTACCCCTTCCTGACTTACTGGATACCACCCCCTGTACTATTGACCAAGTAAGCTTGGGGCAAAATTTAGACCACCTGGAGAAAGGCGAGGCTACTCAACTGCTGCAGGGATACCGAGAGATGTTTTCCGCTACCCCCGGCTATACCTCCGCTGCGGTCCACCGTGTGGAAACCCAGGGAGAGACGCCCCTACGGCAACAGCCATATCGGATCCCGGAAGCAGTACGTGAGAGTATGCTCACCGAGTTAAGGGATATGTTACGGCTAGGGGTAATAGAACCCTCCCAAAGTCCTTGGGCCTCCCCGGTGGTACTAGTACCGAAGCGCGACGGCACTACGCGCTTCTGTGTAGATTACCGGAGGCTTAACGACCGTACCATAACCGATGCCTACCCCATGCCTAGAATAGATGAGCTCTTAGATCGTATGGCGGGGGGGAACTACTTGACTACCCTGGACCTGTGCAAGGGTTATTGGCAGATCCCCCTGGAGCCTGCGGCCATCCCCAAGTCGGCGTTCGTCACCCCGTTTGGGCTATACCAATTCAAGGTTATGCCCTTTGGGATGAAGAACGCCCCGGCTACGTTTCAGCGGATGGCGGATAGGCTCCTGGAGGGGTTGCAGGACTTCGCATGTGCGTATCTAGATGATATTGCCATCTATAGCCGCACATGGGGAGACCATCTGGGTCATGTGTCCAGGGTACTCGAACGAATCCACCTCGCCGGGCTCACTTTGAAACCCGACAAATGTCACGTAGGCCTAGCCGAGGTCCAGTATCTGGGTCACCGGGTCGGCTCCGGTAGACAACGCCCAGAGCCCGCTAAGGTAGAGGCCATAGCTAACTGGCCCCAACCCCGGACCAAAACCCAGGTACTGGCTTTCTTAGGGACGGCCGGGTATTACAGGAAGTTCGTCCCAGAATATAGCGCCGTGGCCAAGCCCCTCACGGACCTTACCAAAAAGGCCCTTCCCAAACAGGTCGCCTGGACCCCAGAGTGCACGGACGCTTTCCAGAAGCTCAAAGCGGCATTGAGTGAGGCCCCTGTGTTGGCAGCGCCCGATTACACTAAACAATTTCTTGTACACACAGATGCCTCCATGTTTGGGCTGGGAGCCGTACTAAGCCAGGTTGGGGCGGATGGCATGGAACACCCGGTGGCATACCTCAGCTGTAAACTTTTGCCCCGAGAAGTCAGCTATGCCACCGTAGAAAAAGAGTGCTTGGCCCTCGTGTGGGCCCTCAAGAAACTTCAGCCCTATCTGTATGGGCGAGCGTTTACCCTTATGACCGACCACAACCCCCTGGTATGGCTCAACCGGGTAGCTGGTGACAACCCCAGGCTACTCCGGTGGAGCCTAGCTCTCCAACCATACAATTTTACCATGCAGTACCGTCCGGGTAAACAAAATGGGAATGCGGATGGACTGTCCCGCCAGACCGAACTGGACACCTAAAAACGTACTTTCATCGGACATCCCCAAGCCAACCCGACAGGGTCTAGGCGGGTATGCCGACCTATGGACTTATAGGGGAGCAGTGTGAAGAAATGACTCCGTTCATCAGGATTTCTACCTTTGTTGCACAAGTTAATTCACCCAATTCAGCTGGAATTCGGCATATAGCTATAATTTCTACCATTCGAATGGATTCAGGCGAATTCCCCGTGTAAACTCTAGGTGGCCGCCATTTCGGCACTTTACACGTGGTCGCGGCCATTTTACGTGCGAACAGCGGTGTTTGCCCGTCAAACGCGTGGAACTAAAATCGGATACACAAACAGGCGAACACCGCTGAGACCTCCATACATCCAGAACTTCGCACGGAAAAAACCGAATGACCGGCCGTTCGGTAGTTACATGCAACTTCGTATGGGGATTTCAACGACCACGAAGATGCGAACGGATGGCAGGACTTTCGTCTTTTTTATTCGCCTAAACGGAGACCGACCGCAGGGCCAAAACTTATGGAACTATTTTCGGCTAGATGATCCGTGCGGTCGGTCAAAACTTTAGTGCTCCATAGCTCCCGAACCATCCATCCGAATGGACTGATTTTTTGACATATTGTCCCCACAAGTGAGCACTATCCAGCGGTGCCCAATTTAAAGGTGTACCCCCTGTTTTTGGGGTACATCCAGAACTGGGGTAAAATAGTGCACGTTTTAATGAAGTTAACTGTTTATCAGAGGGGAGGGAGGTAGGGGCTGTAACCTGTACCTGATTGGTGATTTAATGCCTCCCCCTGGGTGTGTATTTTTTGTCTGTAACCCTAATAAAAAGCAGGCTGGAGATTCCAGACCTCAGATCTACTTGTAACCTGATTCTGGACTCTGACTGTTATTTGGGAATTCGTATGCTTTACCAAGGGGATTATCTTGGGAAGCTGTTATATTTCTTATGGACTTCATTGTTTAGAACTACCTTAGACGCTGGCATTGCAGGAGGAATTATCAAAGCGGTTCAGCTATACTTGATTTCCTTACAAGTTCTATTAGACATTTAGGAGGGGGTGTATATAACTCAACTCACTCTTACCTGTCTCTTTGAAGGTATTTTGTCCCCTTTTTTATTTGCAATTTTTCCACTTTTTCTCCCCCACTTCCTTTTAATGATTTAGTGGACATACCACGCATGACTTCTCAGCTATATGATAAAGGTAAATCCAATCACAATACAGCATTGACATGCTCGTGTATGTCTTTTTGAGGGATATTTAGTAGACATACCCCATGTGAGTTCCCAAGCTATGTAATAAAGGTTATTTTTACCACAATTTAGCATTGGCATATGTGTGTATGTATTTTATGTTATTTCTAGGAGTTTTTCTCTGTACCTCTTCCTCTTTTTCTCACTATTCCAGTTTTTCTTTCTCGTAGTCTGGAATCTCTTTGGCTATCTAATTAGCTCCTATAATTTGTGTCAACCCAAACAATTTTTTGTTCCATTATGGAACTCTTTCTTTGCTGTTTAGAACTAGGATTAGGCCCTCTTGGTTTGGAGGACACCCTATAGGGACCTTGCCTTAATATACCTTTTTTTTGTTCTCATTCTCATGTACTATGAGGAAGCATGTCCCAAAGTTGAAAAATATTGAAAAGTAAAACATTGCAAAAACAGCTGAGCCATTTATAAAAATATCATTACATCAATACAAACAAATGATTTTATGTTCTAGAGATGAGAAAGCAGAAAACATATGCTAAATATAGTTAAATTCTGAAATTATAATTGTGTTCAGGCATGGTAAGAAAATCCTTGCAGAATGAAATTCATTACCAAAAAAAAAATTTAAAAAATAAAACAGACTGCTGTAGATATAGATGAAATACACACTTGGGATAGATTCAGCTTTCTGTCCTATAAACATATTAAGTACATGTAAAATGTGCAGCTTGCTCATTTGTGTGTAAATATTTAACTTTAAGTGGAATATTACTATTTTTACAGTTACAATGAATACACTTTTTCCAGTTTCTTTGTGTTTCTGAAGAAGTTACTTTTATCAGTATCAATTTTAGATTTAAAAAAATAAATAAATCGACCATGCCTACAATCTTTGGTTTAGCAGCATCCCAGGGATGGACTGTAAAATTGATTGCCATCTGATTTTATTGGGTTTCCTTCAGAAAGACAAGTGATACAGCATTCCCTCATGCACTGGAGAGCTCCATGATACAGGGAAGATTAAGGTGTTTTGCTAAATTATTTAAATTTTAACTATCACGCTAGAAGAATTAGTTGGAAAACCATTTCCACTTGTAGAATGGGTAGCCAAGCTGAATCTAAGTACCAAATGTAGTATATGCTAACAAGAAAATCTACTGCTTTAGAGACTTAAGCTAGTGTCTGGAGGCTTTGGAAGTTTTCTGTAAAGAGCAATTTTGGGACAATGTTCTAAATGTAAAATTAAAACTGTTGATTTAGCAAGTAGGCATTCAATTGAATGAACAAAATTCTAAGAAACCAGTATTTAGTTGAAAAATTAAAAAACAAAAACAAACATCTATAGAAAATCTGCTTTAGTTAAAATGGCTGGTATACTAAATTTTTGGCGGAAGTGTCTGGTTCTGGAGAAAATCTGTTTGCAGAGGAGTTCTCATAAAAAAAAAAAAAAATATACCACCCAACAAATTGTTTAAAAGATATATACCCCAAAAACATGTTTTCTTTTTGGATACATAAAATATTGCCTTGCAATACCTGCACACCTAGTACCTGCGGCTAATGGAAGCCCTCCTTTTCTCCAGAATAGACTTTCTATGGCTGTCACAGACTTCTGGCTATATGACAGCTCACGGAGCAGCAATTTTATACACTGTAAATTAGATATTCTGTATTCAATCTGCCAACATGTTAGCACACTGGTTCACAACCAAGATCTCAAGGCACACTGTGGCAGGAAAGAGTTAGTCAATATCATGACTCTTTTCTTCTTCTATCCTAGGGATGTGGAATTTATTTAACAACTGGGACATTCAGGGCTTCTGGGGGATTGAAAACCCCTGTATCCATAAAGCAATTTTTTTCTATTCATTGTGCAGTAAAAGAGTAAACTTTTTTTTTTAAAATAAAGTTTATATCTAGAACAATTATTAAATGTGCAATATTAAAGGGATACTGTAGTGCAAGGAATACAAAGCTGTATTCCTGGCACTACCAATGCCTCGGCCTAACCTCCACCCCCTTCCTCGCACCCCTCATCGCCAGATAAATAAAGGGTTAACCCCCCCCCCCCACCCTCTTTTTTAACTTACCTTATCCCAGCGCTGATGTCCCTCGGCACTGGGCCCAAGCTCCGCCCCCTCCTCCAATCCACGAACGAGTGGGGTCTATTGTGCATGCGCGGCAAATGCAGCACGCACATTAGACCTCCCCATAGGAAACATTGAATCAATGCTTTCCTATGGGGAAATTCTGACTCTGGAGGTCCTCATACAGAGCATGAGGACGTCCAGCGTCAGATAACGGACCAAAAGTCTGTTTCGATTCCAGAAGCGCCCCCAGTAGACAGCCACAGAGGGCAGACTTAGAGCTGCAATGTAAACATTGCAGTTCTCTGGAACTGCAATGTTTTACATTACAGCATTAGGTGAAAAAGGGGCACAGCATCCAGACTACTTCAATGAGCTGACGTGGTCTCGGTGCCTACAGTGTCCCTTTAAGTACACTATAATTTTGATAATTTTGTAGTTTTAACTCCGTTGTAAACAAGACAAACGTTTTAAACTAAAAGTAGAGATGTCAAAATGAAAACCAATTGAATGTCACCTTTAGAACCTTGCCTCAGAATTGTTCTGAAACAGAACTCTTAACTCTCTTTCCATTGACTAACAAGGAGCTCTAATGCTGGTGTAATCACAAATGATGTGAAAATTCTGTTTAGTATTTGACTAACACATATTCAAAAGCCTAACATTTTGATTACTTTTCCTTAGAAAATAACAATAGCACATCTGTATGGATTATACAAATGTAACAGTGTACAAATAAATGATACAAAACAATAGATAGTAGGAAATCTTGCACCACCAGAACAGCTATACATCAAAACTTATAAATAAAAGAGGCACATACTACATAGTTCATGAATTTAGGACATGCACAAATCATACTCTAAAGGTGTTGATCTAGAAATAGCAGATCTCTCTATCACACAAACAAAAACTACAACAAAGTACACCAAACACTTTGCTGAAGAATTATAAAAAATATTCACAATGTGTGCAAAGGACAAAAGGCAGACTAACTACAATATCATGCTGCAGACAAGAACACATGAAATTATTTAAACTAAGAATACATTAAATGGAGATGGATCAAAAAAACAAAAACAAAAAAAGATCCATCCCTGGTTGTGCAAGTTTAAACACCACATATAAAACAGTTAAATCCCAACCCAAACACAGATCTCTGCAAAGACTCTGCAAAGATTCTGGGCATACCTTTATCAGCCTCAATTGCCTCAACTGTGGCTGTACAGAAGTGAGCAGATGCATGCAAAATGAATGAGAAAGATGAGAAGTGTAATATCGCATAACAAAAATAAATGCAATGACCAATGCAATATACAGTTCTGCCCAAAATTATTCATTGCAAACACATTATTGTCCACACATAATTAAGATGCATTTGAAGAAGCAAGTTTGTTAGAATTGCAAGATACAAACAAAAAGGAAAAGCAAAAAGGCAAAAGCATTAAATTTTGACTTTTAAGCAAGCAAAATGGAAAATTTATGTTAATGTTGAAATATGGATTTTTTCTTTTTTTAAACAAACATTCTTAAGACGGTAATGGTTTTAAATCATGCTGTTCCAAGTTCTGAACTAGGAAAAAAAAAAAAGTCATTTTAGGATGTATCTTGGCAAACAACATTCCAGATATTTCATTTCAAAAGCAATTCAATGCAGCTTTGTATAGCAACACACAAACACGTTTACAAACACAATCACTGTGAATATCCATTAAACATTGCAAGTCTGCTGATAACTCTTCCTTTAAACTTTCAATCCATTCTCCATTTTAAAGTCAAAGACACAAAGCAGCATTGAAGACAGCAGACATTCAATAATCTAATTATCATACATTAGAACAACGATATGCAATTATCTTTCTTATTATTTCGTTTTAAAACTGTTACCTTATTGCAGAACCATAGGCATTATGTGAAACTAAGAAATGAATTGAGTTCTGTAGTTTTACCACACAGTCAGGGACTAAGGTAGCATGTTAAAAGCACCAATCTTAAATGAGATGTTCCACACTAGAACATGGTTAAAGCCTAGATTGGAAAAGATTGGGAAGTGGAATGGGAACATCATCTTCAGCATATGGTTTTCAAGGGGAAGATTGTTGAAATGTAAAATGGAATCCCATTATGATTATGAAAGTATCAACAGATTAAGACCTACCATTTTTTATCAAAACAGAACAAAAATGTGTAAATACACTTATAAGTGACATTGTTAAAAGGGCAGTCTAAGCACCATTATCACTACACGCCGTTGTAGTGATTACGGTGCTGGTTGGCTGTGGCAATTACCTCCCTCCCCCAGGTTAAAGTGTCTGAGCAAATCAGGGATCCCTGAGACACTTGTGTCTCACCCCTAATCGCCGTATCTGCTGAATGTGTCAACTGATGGGCTCAGCCTATCAATACCGTCCAAATTTGGTTGAAATTGATGTTGTTAATGTGCAAGTGATACTTCTGAATATAACAAGTGGGAAAAGGCAACTCATGCATCAAGGACTGCATGTTTTGGCTAAACCACTCACAAACAGAACAGGGCTAACCTGCCATACAGCCTACACAACAGCATGTAGTGGTTACGGTACTTAAACTGCCTCTATAACGTGAAAGTGATTAGTAGCAATGTTACATGAAACAAGCCACCCTTTGAAAATAAACTGACAGTTAAAAGTGATTTCCTATTACAAACAGTACTAAGTATTTAGATTTTTTTTTATGATACATATTTCCAATGTCAGGTTTAACAAGGTAAATTTTTTTATAAAATCAATGCATTCCATTTGTAGAAAGTATAAAATGGTATACTGTCGAAGAAATAATTACTCAAAAGGCAAAACAAAATATCACTGAAGGCACTGCGGTTTTCCCATAAAGGATTTTTTTTTTTACATCTATGGTACATTTAAATGTATTGTTTATGACAGGGGGAGATTCCTCAGGAACTAATAAAACAATTGTTGATGTGCCATCCCTTAAAGACGCAGCATCTGGAATAAAAGGGAAATATGACGGAATATTTCCGTCATGTGTCCTTAAGGGGTTAAAGGCAGAGAATCGTGTGATAAGGTTAACACTTCCTGGGATTGGCAAAGGTTAACACTTCCTGGGCTTGGCTCAGGGTTTAACATACCATATTTTTATTGAACCCTCTGGGCACTAACATAACTTGAACAAATTTAATAGGTTTAGGCCTCATACTCCTACTGAGCCCTTTCTTCCTGTTAAAATCTCTTTAGTTTTGCTCAAAAAATGAGAAAGGTACAGTGGTTATTCTGCAGAAATTTGCTATGTCTTTTTTGAATTTTTTTTTTTTATAGAAAACAAATGAAATTTGAATGAGAAGAAAAACACTGCATAAATAACTATCAAATAGCACTTAAATTATGTTGGTCCCCTGAGTATGTCTGAAGTTTCCTTTTAAATACCGGTAAACTTCTAGAGTTTCTGGTACAATTTTCACATTGAATCAAGAGGTAAGATTAGAGTGGAGTTAAGCACTTGGATGAGAAAGTACCACACTGAATCTTGCATTTGTTACATTCAGATGTAAACGGTGCACACTTTAAAATAATAATCCCAATGCACCTACTTGCACGTTATACTAAGGAATTCTTCTTTATAGTTTTGTTCTTTAAAGTTTATCTGTTGAACATCTTTTAAACATCTGTACAAACACCCAAATTAACTTTGTTGCTTGTGACTCTATAATATTACGTTTGCAAACAAATACATTTTAAAGTTCTTGTTTATTTAAATATTATGTGTAGATACAATTACGGAACTTGAGCTTCCAAAACTCATCAAAAAACTCTGTTTAGTTAAACAAAATATATTTTTAGGAAGAAAGGACTAGTAAAGGCATCATAAAACACTAAAAATAAGAATTCTCAACATGTTGCTATTACCAGGAGGTGGCTTACAAGATATTGTGTTCTTCGCTGTATATTTTATTGTTGTGGAAACACCATTTTATCAGAGGCAAATATGGTGTTTCATCCATTAATAACATAGGCAAGGATGTAATGAGAGAATCTTAATTTTGCACTCTTCGCAATTGGTCTTTTGGTGCAGAAGGTATTGTAGAGCTACCTTTTTTCTTCTGCAGGATTAACTGATGGTCACACTGAGTCCCTGCAAATAGCAGGGGAAGTGAATGGATGCAGGGCATATCTAATTTGACAGATGTTTTTCCATCATTAAATGCAGGACAAATCTTCTACATTGCTTTCTTTGCACACAAAAACAATTGTTATAGTGACCATAACTGCACCAAGTGACCCTGTAACTAAAAGCATCCCTTTAACTACTTACACCTTACTACGTATACAGCTATTAATGCAGGAAACTCATTGACAGGTGTGGGATGGGACCATATTTTTCAAATAGTATTAAGAAAATCTATAAATTTGCCAAGAGCTCTGCTAGCATAACACTCCGATAATGTCTTATCCTTTTTCATTAGAAAGGCGACATTAAGATAGAAAGGATTATAAGGATACACTTAATTTCATGTACATAGATGTTTGGACTGACTGGTTTACACCTGAGCCATAAACACTTATATTGAAACGATTTACCCTGCATTAAATAAAAATATTTAAGCTACATAGATTAAGTAGCCAATATTTTTTTCTTGCCGCATCGCCAAATGCTTTTCTAGGTAATATGCTCACCTGTAAGGATTTCTAAAAAAAAGATTTTTAAAAGAGTATTTCACCCCAAAGTGCTGTAACAAATTGCTATTCTGGAATAATGTTAAAATCAAACCCAAAACAAAGAAACTAAATAAATCAATATAGCAAACACAAGTATCCATTGGGAACAAAATACGCAGCAATGCTACACACATTTAAGTTATACATAATTTAAACCCTGCTCAGAAATTTTAACTTTTAGCGAAATACACTATACACTAGGTTCCACTCAAACAATTGAATATAAATAGGAACATTTCTCACACTAAATGACAAATATGTTTTTCTCTCTGTAAAAAGAGAATATAATTACCTACCATAAAAAAGAAAGTCAGAATGACAAAACATTTAAAAACAAAACTAAGTCCCATTTGAATCAACCATGTATATACTGTGATTTTTATATTATTTATAATATATATATATTATTTTTTTTTTAAGCAAAGCTGGACACTGGATAACCTTATTAGTGAATGTTTAAATATTGGCAAATTTGAATGCTTTTTGTATTTAATACACCAGATTACCGTATATACTCACGTATAGGCCTACCCACCTAATTTTACCTAAAAAAACTGGGAAAATGTATTGACTCGACTATAAGCCTAGGGTGGGAAATGCAGCAGATACTGGTATTAAAATGCAATGCAAAGCTTTAGATTATCCCATGACTAATGGGAGTTACAGTCACATTACAGACAGAAGTTGCTGTTTTTCTTTTCTCCCCCCCACCTCCTCAGTGGTCCTTTCCCCCTTCTCCTCCCCACCTCGTCATTGGTCCTTTTCCCTCACCTCCTTAGTGGTCCTTTCCCCCCTCTCCCCACCCACCTCATTAGTGGTCCTTTCCCTCTCACCTCCTTAGTGGCCCCTTTCCCCCTCACCTCCTTAGTGGCCCCTTTCCCCCTCACCACCTTAGTGGTACCTTTCCCCTTCACCTCCTTAGTGGTACCTTTCCCCTTCACCTCCTTAGTGGTTCCTTTCCCCCTTCTCCCCCCCACCTCCTTAGTGGTCCTTTCCCCCTCAGCGGTCCTACCTATGTAGCTTGGCCGGGCATAGTGGACCGCAGTAAAGGAACTTCTGTTTTCTGTACCCGGCCGCAGGCAGACTAAAGGGAAGCACTCACTGAGTGAGCCCTTCCTGTGATTCCGCCGGCGGCCGGGTACAGGAAACAGAAGTTCCTGTCCAACAGTCCATGCCGCCCGGCCACGCTACATTGACTGATCAGCAGGAGGGAGCGCTGTGCGCTTCCCTCCTGCCGGTCACCTAAATTTAGCGCCCCCCGCGGGAAGCGCTCACTCGAGTATAAGCTGAGGGGAGCTTTTTCAGCATAAAAAAAATGTGCTGAAAAAGTCGGCCTATACGCTAGTATATACAGTACATATATTTGATTAGAGTTCTTTATTGTGGTGCAAGAACACATGCACAATTAAAAGCCTTCGAACTTTATATGTACAAGTTAGTTTTTGCAAAGCCTCAGATATGGTTTTGCAACAAAGCATATGTATACATTTAGTTTGCATACAACTTGTAGCAAGACGCTAGGTGTAAAACACAAGGCACACTGTTTCAGGGAGTTTGCCAAGTACATACATATATTTACACAGATACCTATATATCTACACAGACAGAATTTGAATAGAAAGTAGCAGCAGCAGCAAACAGAGGACAGTAACAAAATGGAAGAAAATGATTCTATCACCCTGGATGTTTGCCTAAATTGGTTGAACATCGTGTGAACTGTGTTTCACCAACATAAGGGGTTTCTAGATGATCAGACATCAGTGAAATAGGCAGTTTTTAGAGGTTAGTTATACAGAGCTTATTTAACAAAGAAGATTTGGCAGATATTACCAGGATACAAAACACAACATTGGCAAATATGCAAAGGAACCCCGCACCCCATTATTTTACTTATATAATGTGGATACCAATAAAATAATTAATACTTTTTATTGGTCATAATATTTTAGAGATTTTGCTTTTGGTAATACACTTATTGCTCATGATAAATTATGGGCAACACATAACAACTCAGTTGAGAATCATTGCCCAGTTTGTTTTTGCTTGTACCCTGGTAGGGGTTTAAGTTATTAGCAAATTAACACCACGATTGGCTGATATTAGACACTAAGACATGAACGTTATAAGCATTAGAAATTCCCAGCATGCATTAGGTGCAGAAGTGGGAAGGGAATGCGACGTGCCCCAGTCCATCTGGGGTACAACAAGCAGTGCATCATTACCACTTTGTAGAGTTTGCCGTCCTCCTGCCAGAACCCCGCTAGGCAACATTCCAGTGGGAGTTAGGCCTTTCAGTGTCAGCACGCTTTCACTCTCCTCCCTAATTAAAAAGTTACAGAAATAAGAAAAGGTTTTTAAATTCAGCGAATACAAAAACATGTGAAAAGATGCAAGTAAAACCAGCAATAAGGGATTTCAAGATTTCCAATTTAAACTTAATTCATCATAAACCAAAAGGTTTGAGAGCAAGCAAAGTGCAAACATTCTCTTGGAAAATATCTTGCACATTCAAGTGGCATTACCATGCTGGAAAATTCAAATTTAGGGAAAACAAAAGATAGAAATGAATACTGGAGATATAAATATTTACACTGTGTTTTCCCCCATCTCAAACTAAAGGCAAATACATGGTAGAACAAAAATAAAATCTCCTACAATTAACAAGGTTATAAAAAGATTGCTCTGTAGATATAACATGTTGAGTAAAAACTTTTTTTTTAATTTTTATAATCAATACCGTTGACAAAGTCTGTTTCTCTTTATCTATATTTCAAGCAATAATAAATTTAGCCCCTTACAAAAACCTCTTTCAGACAATGTTTCAACATTGCAACATTTTGAAAATATACAGTATAAATACTTTATGAACAATCCTACAGAAAAGTTTGCGTTGCATGCTTAGTATTCTGAATAGAGAGTAAATATAGTAACCACAGCAACTGTGAGTCTTTTTTTTGGAAGTCTAATGCAAAATATGAAAAAAATTAAATGGAGATAAGATCCATAGAAGGAGAGCATGCACAGCAGGATCTCAGGATAAGCTCTGAACCATGTCAGACATTCCTGAAAGTTGTACCCACCAATCAGAGGCATTGCTGATAAAATGATCCATTCTCACAGTTTACACTGCTCATAACAGATGCAGAGGAATGCTCTTTAGTGTATTCCCACGTCGGCTTTTCAAGAGTTTGATTCAACAACATAATCCAAGGTAAGTCACCAAGGAGAGATATAGCACGATGGAGTTAGCTAACCTCTCACTACGTTTTCAAATACTATTAAATGAACAATTCTTAAACATGAGGAACATATTGGCAATTTTAATGTTGACCAAAAACAACAAATGTTTAATTCCCAAACAGATTATAATATAAATTGGAAAAGTTTTTATTTCCCATTTCTAAGGTGGGCACATTCATTTACCAATACAACATTTCTAATATAGCTATGATAACTTTGCAATTGGCACTTCACAAATATATCAAATGAACATATTCTACAAAAATTTAAATTAACTCCTTATGCTTAAGTTGTTTTGGTGACTATTGTGTCCCTTTAAATAGAGGTGCTCGTAAACACAGAAGTGAGGCGTTAACTGCAAAAAGAAACTTACATCTATTGGTAAGCAAAATAAAGATGATTTTTTTTTAGATCAACAGCTGCTTCTGAAAACAAGTAAACAGTACAATACACTCTCTAATTAATCAGACTTGGGCTGTCATGAAACTGGCAATGACACAATGTATTACTTTACATACATACATTTAAACACAACATTCTTAACAGATATGTTCACCTAACCTAGATAGATAGAGATTTGATGGACAGATAAAACTAATCCTCCAAAATTTGCTTTTGGTGTGAGACACAGCCTCTCATACTGTACAGCAATTTTCTTCACTAGTAGCAGTGAGGAATTAGGAAGGAATAATGACAAAACAAAACTGTATTCCTGAACTGGTATAGGATGCCAAATATTTTTTTGCCCTACCTGGAGTGGATCTGGATTTTATCCAAAATGATGTTGTAAACAGGGTATCTGACAGTTTTAAAGTACAGAAGAGGCCATCTTGGAATGACCATTATTGCAAGTACTATGTGAAGGTGGAAGGAATTTAAAATCTGTGATTTGCCAGATAGCCCTCAGCATCCCATTGTGCTGTAAAAAGGAGCTGCTAAAAGGTGATGAGTGCCCAGTAATAACCAGGAAGTAGAAAGGATCAGGAATCTTTTCTCCCCATCCCCTTTGTAATGGGAAGGCAGTCCCTCAAATTATCTACAAGTTAAAGTAGTTTAGTGGGCATTATTAAACATTAGGGCCTAATATTTAATAATGACCACTTGCCTGCCAGTGCCAGGTGAGTGGACTGGATATTTTATCAGTATGCATACCGTGGAGGAAAATGTACAGAAGGCAATTAGACCCCGATCTGCTAACGTTTGGTTACTGTTCACTCGAGGTTATGTATAAATGAATGAATTACATTTAAATCTTTGCGTTTTACACTGTAACAGAATTGAACTGTTTGTTTTTTTTGTTTTGTTTTTTAATTGTTTGATAAACAGCCTGTATAAGGACACAAGCAGAACTATGCAATTTTATGTAATATTCTGGAACATAGAACCTTATAGGACACATTGGCTATCAAACATGCAGCCACCTGTAATCTCATACAAACAGAGCACAATTTCAGTCATGCTTATTTTACAAAAATAAATCTGTGGGCACTAGTCCAGAGGCTCTCTGTGGGCACCTGTGTGTGCACATAATACAACCGAATGAAAGACTGACAATTTGTGTAAACTTTAATAATTTGTTGATCATTGCAAATGGCAGCTCTTCGGCTTTGTCACATTTACAACAAACTAGTTGCCTTACAATTCTACAGCATTACAAATATAATTTCAGCAACAAGGTGAGAAACATATTTTACCTGAGTACAGAAAAGACTCTTGCCATCTTTCCAATCGCTCGAATTTTGTTCCTGATGATTTCTTTTCGGGCAGCAGCTGTACCTACTTTCAATGGAATAAGGACAATCTCAAGCTCGGGAATAAACAATATTAAATACAAAAAGAACAAATATTAAGCTGACATTAATTCCAGCACAACACTACACTACACACTTGTAAAAGTTTGTGTTCACAAACTTAGCATAGCTTATATTAAATGCACAGAAAATAAAAACAAAATGGCAGACTTAATCATAACAATCTGAGCACAGCAAGTAACAGGTAAAAATATCTAAATACACATTTTTACTGCTGATAGAGTTAGATTTGAATGTTTTACACTGCTTTTGAAAGATGGCATTGTGATTTTGATGTGGAAATGATGCTGGTTGATATTAAATATTTAACAATGAAACATGAACATTTAGGACACATTAATCTCTAGCTCAAAGGAAAGTGAAATTTTAAGGGCTTCCTTTAAACGTCTTTTCCTTTGAAGACTCTGGGACTCAAAGCAATTTCATAATGTCACAATCTGATATATTCCCAATTTGTATAAATGGAGCCAAATGATAGCGCCAGCTAGGATTTATGGAATCCACCACCAAAACAAATCTATTGGAGGCTTCACAATGAGAGTCCATAGCTTGACCCATTCTATGGTAGCACTTTGCTTGTACAAGCACAGTTGTGATTACCGTACTTTGTTTTCTAGTGGAAACATTGCACATCAAGTTAATAGCCAACTTCATTTAACTTCCACATTTAGTGTTTTTACAAGGGTTCAAAATGTGCTCTTCCCCAACAGGTCGGTAAAAAAAGCAAAACAAAACCTTATTGGCTTGATCCTAATAACATTTGGATTAATGTGGTCACTATTCCCCTTCCTTTTTAATTTATTTTCCTATCCCCCCGCTTTTTGTTTTCTGTGGGATGTAGATTTGCACAATTTAGGATGCAGATTCACATGTAAAAAAACATCATTTTCAGTTTCTGTTCCTAATTTTCTTTCACTGTCATGATGTACTTTATAATTTTGCTTTTTCTACAGTTGTCTTTATGAGCATTTATAAAAGTTCAGAGACACTTTCAATTAAAAACAAAATACTGAAGTTTTAACTGCAGTAACGGTAATGTATAAATGTGTTTTTGACAAAGGTCCATTTGTGATAGTGGTATTAACAGTAACAGATATTGAATTAAAGTTGGTGTTAAGGAGTTATTCTCCTTATCAATTTTGCTACAGGCAATTGTGTATGAACAATATAAGACTGCAGTGAATATTCTGGTGGTGGGTTCCTTGCAATACCATCATTTCTGGTAGTTGATCTGATCAGTTATATCTAAAATTAGCTTCAGTATTTTCTATAAATAAATAAATAAGTCATCTCATATTATAATTAGCATTACATAAACAGGCAAAGGCCCTTATGGAAAGATGATATTGCTGATACCTAAATAAGATTAGTACAGAGATTGCCATGATCACTTCACATGTTAAGCGGGTGAGTGACAGTAAATTGCCCAAATTATGAACAAAGCACTGTATTTAATTTTTAATGAGGGGATTAAACGGGAACCATGAGCCATTAAAAGCATTGGAGCAGAATGTTTGCAGCAAAACTCTTCTACGGTACCAGATGCAAAACCTTCCTTTTAAAGATCACAAAACACAACCAGTAACACAACAAGTAACTGGCCAATCGGTGCTTTGCACATCTGTTAAAATAAAAATTTACTGGCTACCAGAGGGCCTCAACATGCCAGTCCTCAAGTGTTCCAAGTAGGCTAGGATTAAGGAATTTGCTTTAATTCTAGCACATGCATAAAGAAATCAATTGGTTTACTTAACCAGCAAATTAGGGATGCATTTATCCCCCGTTATGTCAGACTGGGAAACACCTCTAAATGCTCAAAAGAAACAGTTGAAGACTGGATTTAACACCTGGGAGATAGACCATTATCACTAAACCCTCTGGTTTTTTTCTTTTGTAATGACCTAAAAACTCAACATAAACATTCAAAACAGTTTACATGCACATTTGTAAATGAAAATTGCCAATACTAACACAATGACGCAGAAGACAGACAAATGAAATGCTCCCTTTTCATGCAGGGACAGGTAATTGGGATGTTAGAAACAGATACAGTTACAGAAGATGGAAATTTACAGATGAAAAGAATGGAAGGAAAATTGTCATGCACAGAAAGACAGATGTCTAGGAATATGACTTCATAATGGTGCAAAAACACAAATATTACATTAAGATGCTCGTGGTAAACATGTGAGCGATCAACATTATTAAAAATAAATAATTCTATATGGAGAAACAAAAAAATTAAAATATCACAAGTAAACATCACTTTAAGTGTGTTGTGTAGTAACTTCAAAAAAGTAAGAAGTCATATTTCAAAACAATGGAGCTCTGTCTGGTCTGTACCTTTCTTATTGCCATATATGAGTCGTTCTTCAGATGGAGAGTCCAGAAAAAAAGGAAGTGAACGATGGAGAAATAGGTGAGTGAGACAAATAAAAAAATAAAAGATATTTTACTTGGCAGTGGCAAGAATGAAGGTGGAAAGACACACAGAAAATAAAAAGGGGAAAAGATTGGGCAAAGCTGCAACTCAAGAACTTTAAATATATGGAATTAAACAGGGTATTTAAACTCTTAACAGAAAAAAAAAAATGCTCATTGCGAGTAAAGTGTAAGGGTGCCGTCCCCTTCCCATTAGAGGGCATTATTAGCTAAAAAAAAAAATCTTTGTGTGAAAAAGGGTTATAGTGAGAAGATTAGATGAAGAATTACATTTATGAAGTGGAAATCCTTGGTCAGTCAATGAGAAACTGTCTGCGATTAATGAATTTCATACAGCTATTTAGCGGAAAGATACATGAATAAAGGGTGCTCGTTTAATTGTACCTGTGTTTGGTAGCTTGCATTGTATTATATTGTTCACCTATCTAGTGCTGCCAGGGAGGAGTGGAAGGAAAACTATGTTACTCTCTAATAGGAATTCTGAAGTAAAGTGTCCATTAGTATCACTCTTAATAAGCTAAATACTGAGAGTTAGAATAGCTTCATTCAGTTATGCCACCATAAGGACATCTCAGAATAGAAACCAGCTATTGGAGCATATTCCAAACTAATGTGCGGGAGCGCCTTTTCTTTGTCCTTGATGGGTTTTTATATCATTAGTGCTATATTTTGGCCACAAATTATGAAAGTAATTGAATTCAAGCATAATACTTTGATAAATTAATATTTTGTCAAGTTTGCATTAACTATAGAAACAGAAAAATATCAAATAAACTATATATCACACAGAGATATAAAACAGAAGAGAGAGCTATCTATAATATCAGTGTAAAAGAATACTGAAGCAGAAGAAAAGCTGAAATGGGAGTGTATTAAAAAAAAAAAAAAAAAAATCCACAAGAGATGAATAGAAAACCACACAAAGCAATTGGCTAAAAAACCAAAAAGACTTTCATATAAGTTTATATAGACTAGAAGGAAATAAAATAGTACCACACAGTTGGTATACTTCATTTCTATAACTGTACATAGCATTTGGCTGGACATACAATGCGTTTTCCTATTTATATCATCCTAAGCGGTTAAGCTTAGATTACAAACTGGACTAATAATTGATAGAAACAATAGTGTTTTTCACTAGTAGTAGTTATAGTGACAGAGGTCTATGGATACGGTCCCTTTTTGTTGAACTCCAAGATTTTAAAAAAACAAAAACTGTGCTTTCGCATTCCCTGCTCCTTCTTTAGCTGCTTTGCAATTCTGTCCATGCAGAACAGAAGGCAAATCTAAACCCCAGAACTTGCATTATGGGCGAGGACTATCCCATTAAAAAGCCATTCCATACAAGTGCGGACTTCTATGAGACATTGGCACTTTATAATCCCTTAATGAAACACCCCCTGGCTGTCAAACAGCGAGGGAGTTTTACTTTCTGCCTCACCTCACATACTTGACTCTCAGACCAGCTTTCTGTCTGGTCAAGGAGCATAGTTTCAGAGACTTCTCAATGGGTATAAGTCTCATTTGGGGAAAAAGAGGAGAGCTTGCTCAGGCTGCAGTTCATAAGAACTGCAGGTTTGCAAACTCTTTTAAGACTCTTTAAGACCCCCCAATGACTAAATGTATTAAAAACGCATGCATGTATTTATTGGGGATATATCTACTAAAAAGTGATTTTATCCCCCCATGAGTTAATGTTTGGAGTGGCCCGTTAAACTTGAATAACCTACTACACTGCACTGATGTCCTTTTACTTTTATTTAGTGGTTTAATATCTCAGTTTAGAGCAGTGGTTCCCAAACCAGTCCTCAAAGCATCCCTACCAATCCAGGATTTTGGGATTACCCAGTTGGTTTTTTTTTTTTAGGCAGATGAAAAAAAAACACACACAACTGGGTAATCCCTAAATCCTGGACTGGTAGGGATGCTTTGGGGACTGGTTTGGGAACCACCGGTTTAGAGTATTTTTGACATTATATTTGCTACTTTACTTTAAAGCCAGAACATTAAAAAAAATAAAAACAAAGAAGTGGTTTATCTGGTACACTATGGCAAAAAGCAATGGAGATGAAATGGATGAGATCTGGATGTGATTATTTTCCCTAAACACAAGCAACATGTGAAGACACTGCACAGTGTGAAGCATTTTAGCCAACGGGGAGAAAAAAACAATTCATGGAGGCATCTAAATTCAGATAAGCAAATTTGTCTTTGCCTTTTAGAAATACACAAAAAAAAGAAGAAAGAAAAAAAGATGTATCAGTCAAAAATAGGTAACTGCCATAACTGAAATGTTGATTTTTTTTTCTCTTTAACTGCAATAATGGTAGCAGTTGTTGGTAAATGAGTCGATTCACAATTCATAGAACCTGACTGACAATCAGGCTTATTTCTCAGGAAATATGAAAAGGAATTTTTTTGGGAAATTGCAATTTTGTTGGAAAAGGTTATGTAGCTGAATTTAAAAATAATGTTGAAAAGGGTTACTTTAAGCACCATAATCACTTCATACCACTAGAGTGGTTATAGTGCAAAAGCCCTGCCCCTGTAGATTTTCATTTTAAAAATGTTTAACTCCAGATATAAATACCCCCACCCCTCCCAAATCAACCAGTCGGTTGAAATACTCTCTTCCTGGCTTGTAATATATCAGGTCACTTTCGTACAATGTTTGCATCTAATGTCAGCACTCATAACAGCCTAACACTAAATGTATTGGACAGGATCTGATAACAAAAAAAACATACCCATAAATAGATTCTGGATTTTGATTTCTGCTCTTTCTAGGTTATGTCCCATGAAACTGAGTGGAAGAAGTTGCCTACCCCTGCTAGACTATTATGCTCAATGGAAAGCTGGCTGAGTCTGGTGGGGGTTTAATATACTTCTTATGTAATGGCAACTGCTTGCTAAAAAGCTTATATGAAAAATAACTCCAATCTACATCATCCAATGGGTATATACACACACACACACACACTTTCTAGCAAGTCATCATTTTAATGGACACATAAAAATACAGCCTAAAAGTATGATTTTTCTTTTTTTTTGTTTTGTTACACAAATCTCTAAATCTTCATGTGAGAAGCTATGGACAGGAGATTTGTTCTTAATCTTTATCTTTCAGAAGTACTTAATTGGACAATGCCTGGCACTAACAATAAGTACGTGCTGGGCAAAAATGTATACAAAATAAACTGAAAAAATTGTGTAATAAAATGATCCTACCGTCAAACTGATCTTCTCCCTCTGTCATGAGTTCATCATCAGAGCAGATGCTCAAAACATTCACCAACATCTCTGTTACTGTTTTTGCAAAAGCAAATAAAGAAATATAAACAGTTTGATTAAAGTCACATGACAGGTGAAGGAAGAATGCACATTTCATCAACCTCATATATATTAACATGTAGCATTTTATATTGAAGCAAACTCGAAAGTGCAAAAAAGCAGTGAAATCAATAAAAAAAAAGAAAAGCAATTTAATTATTTTGTAATATTGTAAAGTTATTTAAATGTGTAACTCAGCTATACAAATGCAAACTTGGCTAGAACAATGTATAGGTAAAACTGTAATCATGTAGGGCATGTCTAAAAGTTCATATATCCATAATATTCATAATGCCTTCATATCTTTCACATTTTTTTTTTTAATTCTTTATTTTTGCTGTGCAAGAACAATACATATGAGCTTACGATGCCACAACAGCATGGGCAAGCGTTTTGGCAATATGCATAGGTTTACATAGTCATGACATAGACACAGTTTGCACAGATTTTATGGCTAAGTAGGCATGATTATAAACAGGCTAAGTAGGCATGATTAACTGATGGGCACAAGGAGCCTGAGACCAAAGCTGGCTACGTTTAGGATGTATCGTAAGTGTGGTTCAGAAACAAAGTGCCTGTAAATCTTAGGCAATTATAAGGGTCCTGAAGTTTGCTAGCTTAACGTTTTAAACAGGAAGCTGCATGAACATGATGAGTGAAGTGCTTGTTGATTTCTAAGTAAAAGAAATACATTTAATGCTAGAAAACATGCTTGGCTAGCAAGAATTAAGAAAGCAGGCACATTCTAAGCCTGAGGAATAGGCGATCTAGTAGGTATTAGTGGATTGAGCATGGATAGGTGTATGGATGGGTCTTAAAGAAGGCATGGTATCTTGAACATCACTGAGAGTTAGTGCCTGGTTTGTAAGAAAACCTCTATAGCAGGTTATAACTTTGTGCCCTAGTAGTGAACTGCCACGTTAATTATCCGCTAATAGAAGAGGCCAAATGAACCTGATCTACCCATAAGGGGTGCCAGGTCCGCTACGGGGCTGATGTAGTGGAGTTACTGTCATCGTATCGAACCTGACACTAGCAGGCGCAATGTCAGCTTTGGGCACGGGAGAAAGCTTGCGTGCATGGGAGAACTTGTGCTGCCTCCCTTGTCTTATGCTCTGGATGGAGCTAGGCGGTAAAGCCCCGGGGCGTGTCTACCATGTTATGTCACCGGGGGTGGTTATTACAAAAGAAGCGCTGTGCAGTTAGAGATTATAACGAGTTATAAAACATTCTATAAGAAAACAAAACATCTCCCTTTAAGGTGAGGCAGAGTGTGAGACTGTCTTTAGGTCTTGCGGTTAAAATAGTGGGTCATGGCCTTATTGTACACTAGAGAGAGACTATGTGGTATGATAAACATATACATTATAGTGCAGATTTATATTAGGATGTCTTGTGGACACAGGTGGGGTGTCTGCTAGGGTGATCTTTCACATTTTTATTGCAGCCTAATGCTACAATTGTTTAAATTATTTTTTGCCACAACAATCTACACTTGATAATAATAATAATACTTTTTTGTTGTTGACATTTCTAAAATAAAGAAATAAATGAAATGTTACATTGATATTGAGCAGGCCCCTCAACCCCTCTGTTCCTGTGTGTCCAACTTGCCTGGATACAATTATATGTTAGTTAGTCCAACCACTGTACAGGGCTGCAGAATTTGTTGGTGCTATATAAATAATAATAATGCATCTCATATATTTGAGTTGTTTCTTCGCTTTGTGTTAGGTCCACCTGTGGCAAATTCAATAGGTTGGATATAATTTGTAAAGGCAAACTCCTGCCAGTATAAGGTCTCACCTTTGTTAAAGCATTACAGATGAATAAAACAAGCCAAAGGAACTCCCGCAGAGCTTAGGGAGAAGTTTGTGTCAAGGCACAGACCTATGTAAAGGCTACAAAAAATTTGGCGGCATTGACAGTGAAAGCACAGTGGCCTCCACAATTCTTAAATAGAAGGAGTTTGGAACAACCAGGACTCTGTTTGGCCAAACTGAGTAATCTGGGGAGAAGGGCTTTGGTAAGAGAGGTGACCAATATGGTTACTTTGGGTGAGCTCCAGAGATCATCTGTGGAGATGGGAGAAACTTGTGGAAGGATACTTCACTGCAACACTCCACCAATCTGGCCTTTATGGCATACTGGCCAAACGGAAGTTTCTCCTCACTGCAAGGCATATTATTATTATTTATAAAGAGCCAGCAAGTTCCGTAGTGCTGTACAATGGGTAGACTAACAGACACGTGTCTGTAACCAGACGAGTTGGACACACAGGAACAGAGGGCCCTGCTCAATGAGCTTACATGCTAGAGGGAGTGGGGTAATGTGATACAAAAGGTAAGGGTAGGATAGAAAAGTAGGTTGCTAGAATAGCGTTCATTGAGGATTTAGTCTATTGTTTTGATGACAGTTGCAGGAGCGGAATCAGGGTGCAAGGAGGAAAAGCTGTTCACAGTTTAATTGATATGCTTTCCTAAAGAAGTAAGTTTTCAAAGATTTTTTGAAGTAGTGGAGATTGGGTGAAAGTCTAACAGAGAGGGGAAGGGCATTCCATAGGAACGTTGAAGCCCTAAAGAAGCCTTTAAGGTGAGTATCTGAGGTAGGAGTACTCACAGAGGCTAGACGTAGGTCTCCGGCAGAGCATAGGGGCCTTCATGGGACATATTTGTGTATTAGTGAGGATAAGTAGGTCGGAGCAGCATTGTGTAGAGATTTGTAGGCAAGTATCAGAATCTTAAATTAAGTCCTATATCTTACGAGAAGCCAATGTAGGGTCTGACAAAGGAGGGAGGCGTGGGAGGTGCGGGCCGACATGAAGATGAACCTTGTCGCTGCATTCATTATAGACTGTAACGGGGCATGTTGGGAACATGTAAGACCATGTGTGAAGTGGATTACAGTAGTCAAGGCGAGAGGACAGCGGCACGGACAAGCACCTTTGTCACATCAGGCGTTAAATAGGGTCGGATGCGGCAGGGTTTGACGATTTATTGGACATTAGGGGTGAAGAAGAGGTCGGAGTCAAAGAGAACATCTAGGCAGCGAGCCTTAGAGGTAGAGAAGATGGTAGCGCTATTGGCTTGGAGGGACACAGGCAAGGGAGTAACAACACTTGAGGGACGGAAGACCAGAAGTTCTGTTTTGGACAGGTTCAGTTTAGAGAAATAAGCAGTCATGCATATAAAAGCTTGCTTGCTTGAAATTTGCACTGCAGATCAATAAACCTAAGCACACAGGCAAGGCAACACAAGAAAGGCTTAGGTCCTTGAGTAACACAACCTTGAACCCAAATCAGCTGAAAATGACAAAGCTGACAGAGTTTGAAGAAAAGAAGTCAGAAACTATCCAAATCAGGTGTGCAAAGCTTGTCGCATCCTACCCCAAAAATACTTGAGGCTGTAATTTGCTGTCAAAGGTGCATTAACTAAGTACTGAGTTAAAGGAGCACTAAAGTGCCAGGAAAACAAACTTGTTTTCCTGGCACTATAGGGTCATTAGGTCCCCTCCACCCTCAGGGTCCCCCTTCAGCCACGTACCATTCTCCAGCGCCGGGCTCCCTCTGTGCTGGTTAACTCTCCACCCCCTGCCGACGTCAGATCCGAATGCACATGCGCGGCAAGAGCCGTGCGCATTCAAACAGCCCATATGAAAGCATTACTCAATGCTTTCCTATGGACGTCCAGCGTCTTCTCACTGTGATTTTCACAGTGAGAATCGCGGAAGCGCCTCTAATGGCTGTCAGTGAGACAGCCATTAGAGGCTGGATTAACCCTAATGTAAACATAGCAGTTTCTCTGAAACGGCTATGTTTTCAGCTATGGAGTTAAAACTAGAGGGACCTGGCACCCAGACCACTTTAATAGTCTGAATACTTATGTGATATTTCAGCTTTTTTCATTTTTTAATATGTTTGCAATGACTTTAAGATAGTAATTAGATGCTTTAAAACTGCCACTAATATCTGATAAAATTATTAATTTAATAAAAAAGGGCTTACATTTTCATTTTTTATGCTATCTAAGCTTTTAAAAGTTACCCTATGGCACTCTCAGTGGGGTGAATTTCTACACACCAGGGCTAAATGTTTATTCACTGCATGGCTAGTAGCAAGTGGAAATGTTTAAGAATGGAATGTCCAGCAATCTCATAGGTGTGATGGTTAGGTGTCCACATATTTCCATCCATATAGAATATATGTTCACAAGTTAATCTTTCCGTGGAAAATGAAAGACAATTTCAAATACTACAGTAAACTACAACTGTACCTTTTTCTCCAACAAACGGCAACGACCATGTGAAGACGTCCATGAAATTGGGCAGCCAGTATGGATGTGGTGAGCAGTTGAACTGTCTGATATTCATCACATTATTTTCATACTTTAAAACAGCAGCTGCAATGTAAAGAAATAATTTCAACTCTTTTGGCCCAAAAATGTTAATTTCATATCACTGTCCCTTTTACTTTAGAAGTGATCTTGGAAGAAAAGTTTTACAATGGAAAATCTGTGTCTATACTACAAATAATTATACCTGTACATACAACTATTACATAGGAACATTCTAATTTTGTAGCATTCTAATTCAACATACTTAGGACAACATGGGTTTGAAAAAAAAAAAACAAACAACAAAAGTAGACAAAACTTTGTCCGATTCCAGTAGAAGTCACAAATAACACCTGTGTAATTCAGGCTCTGTCGATGGAAGATCCCGCAGTCCCATGAGATCCTGCATTCACTTCAGTGTTGTACACTCGTGTATGCGCGGCAATATAGCACTGACATGGCTCCTGGTAACAGAAGCTCCAGGAGCTGAAGGGAAACCAGGATGAAGATGGCCACGGCTGCGAAGCACAGACTCAAGTAAATAAACCTTACCTCCCGTGCACTGCGTGGCCACAAGACCCACATCAGATCTGTCAGATCTCTCAAAACATGTAAAGAATTGCAAAGGTGACAGATAGGCTTTAACTATATTTGTGTGAACTCAAGACTGCAACCTACATTAATATATTCTTATACTCAAAAAAAGGATAACAAGACTACTAAACCAAAGATTGGTTTGGAAATATTTGATCTCAAGAAATGCAAGATACCAGGACGTAATAAAGCATCAATATTAATGAAGGGGCCCTAAAGCCAAACATGTGGTAATCCAGCAGTTGTTGAAGTATGTCATACCATTTTAAATAAACATTATGCATGGTATGCTAAAATTAGAAGATGGTTCTTCGAAGATGATTGCTAGCGCTGTCTATAGGTTAAACGTTAAATTGTTAGCAAGTGCAAGGGAGAATCTTTACACTACAAATTAAAGCATGCACATTTGCTTGAATGGCTCATGAATACAGAATGTAATGGACACAGCTGCATTCATGCAAGATTGAATAGAGTGTATGGAGTGTAAAAATATTCTGACCACAAAGATGACTTCATATTCAATACAATTTTATTAAGTTATGGTGATTTCCCTACTACTGCACATAGCTTGAACTTTATTTGCCTATTTAAATAAGAGCTCGCCATGCACATATTTCTCAATATTATGTTGGCCTCTGAAAAGGCTAGTTGTTTTGATGCCAGCAATACTTTTAGTTATACAGGATTTGCCAAAAAAAAAAAAAAAGAATAGCATGGCTTCAGAAAACAAATCAAACAAACAGGGACACCCTCTCAGTGAAATCAAAAGACAAACTACTAAATAGACAATGGCAGCCGCAGACCAACAGAACACCTCATGCGCTTCTCGCGAGGAGTGTTTAAAGACCGCTTATTAAAGAAAATGCTAATGAAACCAGAGAACATTTAGCAGGTTGCCTCTGGGAAACTAGAAAAATTCTAGAACATATACTTGACTCTGATTGACAAGTAAAGAAATAACTAAATCAGAGCAGCAAAAATTTACCTTTATTATTGTAGACATCTAAGTAATTAGGTGCTGAAAATATCGTTATTAACGAAGGAAATCCAGTCGTTTGACTTTTTCTGTACATTCGGTAACTTTGAAATAAAATAAAAAAAATAAAAATACATAAATAAAATACATGAGGGTTATAATGAATACACTTAAGTTATTATTAATGTTCTTACCCAGCATCCTGTGCTTCATGTGCTCTAATGATTGACAGCAAATTATTAGTCAGCAAAAACTCACAGACAGCAGGGTAGCTGTAAATAGAATAAATGAAAATCAATACTACAAAATGTTTTCTATTTGCACTTGAGTAACTGTGAGGTTGAAAGAATGGGAATATACCTATAGAAGTAAGAGCATCCTCTAACCGTATTGTGGCTGAAATGTTCTTGTGACTTTTCATTTCCGAAGTCTTCTGAAGGATCTGACCATAACAAATCACACATTGGACCGAATGCAGGAGGTTCTTTGAACCTGTCTAACTGTATTAAGGATGAAAGGAAGGAATTAAGCGAGTCATATCTGGTGCTTACGGCATATGCTTGGGTTAAAGCTGAACACTAAGCACATAAATGTTCCCCCGAAGCATCCATCCAATTAATTTAAAACTGTTTAAGAATGATGTGACATCAGTCAAGGATCTTTCTGGTTCTCAGTAAACACAGATAATGCAGAATTAACATTACCATTATCAATTCGATCTAACATGGAAAGCATTAACAGGCTGACAGCTGTGGGCTAACACACCCATCATATTCAGCCAATCAATATCGTTCAGGGTGGACAAAATCGACACCAGTAATATGGAAATGATCAATTGCATTACCAATGCAGCGGAGATGGAGGCAGGCCCTCAGCACCAGGGAGACCTTTTCGTTTATGAAAAACTGTTCCTATATAGCGGGATATTAAAGAGAGTGGCAAGAGAACCCTGTGCTCCATAACCAGCACACGACACTAGCAATTATTTTGCATTGAGAACCCATTTGATTTCATACAATGTTACACATTTATACAAGGAATTAATGTTTATAAACCAAGCAGGACAAATGCCACAAATTGTGTAGACCCAACTATCCCAACATGTTAAAAACATGATAAAAACATCTAAAAGCGTCTGTCTTTTTCAATAAGCAGCAACATTAAAAAATAATCTAAATAAATAAATGTATTATTTTTGAGTTGTACATGTCATGGAAATAAATTACATATCTTTATAGAGGAAAAACTTTTAACATTGCACAACCAAATTCCTACAATATGCATAAAAAACATATTGATAGAATTTGTTTATTGTATTAATAAACAAATATTCGGGCAGGGGTAGGCAACCTTTCCTATCATGCTCTTACAGACATAATCTGGGCAAAGCATCAGGGGAGATTTAGTCCACAACACCTGGAGTGATAAAGATTGCCTACACCCCTAATTGTAGGGTATAGTTTAGTGGCATTTGTTTTCCATTTTTTTTAATTAATAAAAATAATATATATATATTCCCACACATGAAAAGGTGAAGTATACTCACTCTCTTAATGTCATCTAACGTATGTATTTCGGGGGAAAGTCCCCCATGAACACAAAGAAACTGTTGGTTTAAAAGTGCAGCTAACGGAAGACAATCAAAAGCTTCCATGCAGGCTTCATAGACTCTCTCAGAATATTTTATTTTACCTAAGGAGAAAGACATCATAAAAAAAAACAACAAAAAAAAAACACACAACCACCACCACCACCACATATTTACACTGTAGACATTGCAACTTTAAACATGTATTCCTGACCCTATAGTGTTGAAACCACCATTTAGGTGGCTTACCCTCCTTCCTCCTCAAAAGTTAATAAAACGTACCTTATTTTCATCGATGCGCGGGTCGCTGGAGCTGGCCCTGCCCTTGATCCGCCACCTTGGCTGACATCATCAGAATTGATGATTTCAGCCATTCCTGGATTAGCTGAGATTGCAAGGAGGCGGGACGTGGCAGGGTCAGCACCTCCTCATAGAGATGGATTGAATAATTGCATCTCTATGAGGTAAGTTCAGCATCTCCAGCACTGCCTCAGGAAGCACCTCCAGTGGCAATCTGAGGAGTGGCCACTGGAGGTGTCCCTAGGAGCCAATTTAAACACTGTCTTTTCTGTATACATGAAAATGCCAGCAGGGACTGTTTATGCTCACTAGAACAACTATAATAAGCTTTAGTTGTTCTGGTGACTATAGTGTCCATTTAATAAAACAAAATATCTCTATGCTCTTAAAATATTGTGCAATTATGGTCAGTGAATGATAGGGACAGGTATTTCTAATTATCATTGAGTGCTAAAACAATGGCTTTTTTATATTTGTGGTGCAGATAATAAAATATCATGTTGATATTAAATATCACAAGAAACGCTGCATCCAATTACAAGAGCATAGTGTGAGGACACACATTTATGAGTTAAGGCACATATTTAATTTTAAAACACTGTGCATCCTTACCTTCATTTGCATGATGCTCTATAAGATGCATTTTTTCATCATTAGTACCCATTTATAAATAAAAGTTACAAAAAAAGCTTTAAAGGACCACTATAGTGCCAGGAAAACATACTTGTTTTCCTGGCACTATAGTGCCCTGAGGGTGCCCTCACCCTCAGGGTCCCCCTCCTGCCGGGCTGGATGGAGAGGAAGGGGTTAAACTTACCTCTTTTTCCAGCGCCGGGCGGGGAGCTCTCCTCCTCCTCTTCGGCTGAATGCGCATGGGCGGCAGGAGCTGTGCACGCATTCAGCGAGTCCACAGGAAAGCATTCTCAGTGCTTTCCTATGGATGCTGGCGTCCTCTCACTGAGATTTTCACAGTGAGAAGCACGCAAGCGCCTCTAGTGGCTGTCAAGAGACGGCCACTAGAGGCAGGATTAACCCTAACATAAACATAGCAGTTTCTCTGAAACTGCTATGTTTATTTAAAAAAAAAAAAAGGGTTAACCCTAGCTGGACCTGGCACCCAGACCACTTCATTAAGCTGAAGTGGTCTGGGTGCCTATAGTGGTCCTTTAAAAAAATGGCAATTATTTGATTAACAAAACAATATAACCTCTATTACAAGTCTTTAAAGGATCACCATAGGGTCAGGAACACAAACATGTATTCCTGACCCTATAATGTTAAAACCACCATCTAGCCCCCCTGGGCCCCTCATGCCTCTATAAATATAGCAAACTCTTACTGTATTCAAGCCTGAAGCTGTAGATCTGCATGCGGTTTGCCTCAGAAAAACATGCAGTCTGCTGACATCATGAGAAGTGGTAGCCTGATCCAATCACAGTGCTTTCCCATAGGATTGGCTGAGACTGACAAAGAGGCAGATCAGGGGCAGGGCCAGCATGATTTAAACACAGCCCTGGCCAATCAGCATCACCTCATAGAGATGAATTAAATCAATGAATCTCTGTGAGGAAAGTTCAGTGTCTGCATGCAGAGGGAGGAGATACTGAATGTTTGGATGCATTTTAGGCAGCCATGACCCATTAAGGATCTCTAACAGACATCTGAGGAGTGGCCAGTGAAGTTATCACTAGGCTGTAATGTAAACACTGCTTTTTCTCTGAAAAGACGGTGTTTACAGCAAAAAGCCTGACGGTAATAATTCTACTCACCAGAACAAATTCAATAAGCTGTAGTTGTTCTGGTGACTGTAGTGTCCCTTTCAAGTTTTCACCAATCTACTTCAGCTCCTTCTGTAACTAAAAAATAAAGAACATTTACTTACCTTGAGACTTCGCCATGACCCCTGCTCCAGTTGCGATCATTACTGATGACCTGAGCCAATCCAATGCTTCCTCATTGGGACGCAAACTGGGGCTAGTGCATGTGCGTGGCAATTGTTGCTCTTCTCCAGTCAGCTTCTCCTTGTAGAAATGCATTAGATAAATGCATCTCTATAGAGAATTTTCAGTGTCTCAATGCGGGATAAGATGACATTGGTCATGCAAAGGTTGTAGGACCGCAAAAGGAAATGCCTCTAGTGGCTGTTCTGAGTGACAGACACTAGAGGTAGCATTAAAGACAAATGTAAACGTTTTTTCCCTCAGGAAAAAGGCAAAGTTTAGAACGGTCAGTCTACCAGGACAGTATTTTTGCACATGAAACTGTCCCCTTTAATATTAAACTTCCATCAGTGTTTGTACTTCTACCATTTGGAAACATATTTAAAATTGCAAAATGCTGAATATACTTACATTCTTGCTTAAAAGTGAAATATTCTGTAAGATGCCTGCATTCATGGTTTCCTCTCAAAAGAAAAAGAGTGTTGGGGTACAAGATCTTTAAAACCCATAAATACAACACACACTGTAAAACAAAACAAATGAATGCAATTTAATAAAACAAATGTATAATTGCAGTAATATATTAAATTTACAAAAAGCTCTAATTCAATAAATACAAAAAAGCAGATGTTCTCTAAATTGGTTATTTAAGTTTAACAAGGGTAATTACAATTCACCATTTAGTGAATAAAAACAGAAATTAAAAGTACATGATGTGAAAAACTCTTTTATAATGTTGACAATTTTCCAGTTGTGAAACCACACAGTACATTTTAATGATTTACACTTGCGTACAAACTTTGCTCTCCCCTAACTATACTGGGAAGACCATAACCCATTCTTTTAGCTGTTCACCCATTGCACTAGTCCCCCCAAAACAGGGTTACCCACAAAAAAAGCTATCCCAAAAAGTTCAATGTCGTGATTAAGTTATAGAATTGAAAAAAAAAGCAAAAAAAATAAAATAAAAAAAATTCCTAACACACTTTACACACATCCTACACTCTAAAGGCCACTGAAAAATTCACTAGCGAGCAGGGCCTGATTCTTCAAACAATTATTTTAAATGAAGCGTTAGATTTCATAGTGTGGAATTCACATGATAACTATGCAAACAGGTTCAGATAAAAGGTTTACCTCTATACTAAAATAACCTCTGTCTACGTAGTCCCCCAGAAAGAGGTATCTTGTGTTAGCTGGCGATCCACCCACTTCAAACAACTTCATCAGGTCAAAAAACTGCCCATGAATGTCTCCACAAACTGAAACACAAAGGATGGAAATCCCAAATCACTAAATATAACTGGGAGGAGAGACAAATATAGCGACATAAAAGAAACAATTTTTCTTTAAAAAAAAAAATTAAATAAAAAAAATGCACAAATATATATAGAGGTAAATTCAAATTAGAAGACAATATTTATATTTAAAATATACTTTACTTGTTATTTTTTATTTATAATTGCACACTGGTTAAACAGGAGATATATCATTTTCTTTGAGTTGTTGTTTTAAAGAATATAAACAAATATAAAAATGTAATACATAAAATAATAAAATTGGACCGTCTGAGGTAAAAGAAGAAAGCTGTGAAAAAATCCATAGATTAGTAGATTTCCTGCCAGTTGCCAGGAAATGAGATCCGAAATAGGTTCATTTAGCCAGTGTTAATATGCGCAAGTTAAAGGAACACTCCAAGCATCACAACTAACACGAAGTTATGGTTCGAGGAGTAGTGCCCTAGTGGCACCCCATTTAGGTAGTAACTTGTTTTCTAAGCAGCACTCAATTGACGCCATGTAAGAAGTCAAACCAATCAAAAATAAGCTATTGTGGTTATAGAGCTTGGAGTATTAATTTAACAAAATTAGGCTACATGATCACCAAATGTATGTCAAGACCTGTACACAGAATATTTTGTTCAGAAATTAGTACAGAAATGGGACAAGGCTCTTCATTAGATCCTGGGACATTAGTTCCAACTGATGAATGAGGTTGAGCTGTCTTGCACCACCTCATTCATCAGTTAGAACTAATGTCCCAGGATCTAATGACGAGCCTTGTCCCATTTCTGTACTAATTTCTGAACAAAATATACTGTGTACAGGTCTTGACATACATTTGGTGATCATGTAGCCTAATTTTGTTAATCTATTTCTGCATAAACTTACATTGTGCACAGGACACTACCATGCTCAAACAGGAAAGGTAATTTTCCTAACTGCTGTAAGCACATAATGGTCTTGAATATCACTGCATGTTGTAGTGTTAAGATCACCATTGTAGGGCTTGACAAGTCCAGGACACCAGTTGTCAGGCAGCACAGACATAGCACCTGTATCTCTCTGTTGGTCAGAGGAAAGAGAAGCATATTCCCCTAAACGTCATATAAAAACGCAAAATCTTAATGTTCAAGCAACAAACTGTTTTACCTGTAATAGGTGCTTCTACTTCTATCATTGTCTTCTCCCGCCGTAATATTGCAGCACCCTCATTAATGATCCTAAGTGCAATTTCTTCATCTACTCGGCCTTCTTTTATCAAATGATTCTTTAGAATGTCCACTCTAGGTCTCCCATCAGAGTCAAACACTTCGTCTGATGTTAACCGATGTGTTGGGGGAAATGGGACAGCTGCATTAATGAAAAAAAAAAAAAAAAGTTACTACATAAATCTTAATGAAGTAAACCATTTTGTATTAGAGACAAACAGAATAAACTTCAATAATAATGGTATATCAACTGTATAATTCAGTTGCTGTGCATGTGCCATAGGCCTCCAGTGCCTCTCTATATAGAAGCACTAGATTGGCTGAGATCATTACAGCTCCCGCACCGCCTGCCTTGGAGGACAATAACGTAACAAGGCGACCTGCTCGAGCCCCCCATGACAGGCGGAACACAGGACAAAATTTATAGTCGTCCTGACAACCTGGCGCCTGGGATTGTCGAGCAATTGGTTATACTGCCTAGAGTCTCCTGGCACTTCCCCTCTATTCAGTTTTAAACCATTTTAGAAAAGGTGAATGTGGGTACCTTGCCTCCCATTGATAGACCAAGGCAGCGATTACATACTTCCATAGTCATACAAATCCATTTAAGCAATGGGCAGCTGTTAGCAGATGAAAGTGATCAGCTTCTGTGGTTTCTTTACACTTCCGTTATGCTTTATTAAGTTTATTTATATAATATGATTACTTCCACACACACAAATGCAAAATAACTGACCCAAGACCAATGACATATTATGACTGTTGTGAGAAGAAAATCTGCTTAAAGGAACAATCCATAGTACAAAAGATAGCAGCACTAAACACTGGTATGAAGCCCAAGGCAGATTTTACTGGACAGGATACAACAATGTTTCGGCTTAAAATCCCTTTTCAAACTTTCTGAGCCAAAACGTTGTCCAACAAAATCTGCCTTGGAGCTCAGTGCCCAGTCCTATTTTTTGCACTATTGAGCATCGTCATCGATGGAGGTCCTTATTTAAACATGCCAACCCCTATCTCTTTCTACTTTCAATCTGAGCACCATAATGACTACAGTCCACTGCCAGGCTAGATCAGAGTTTCCAGCTGCACAGCAGGAGATGAATGGTACCCAGAAGACCCCAGGTATGTTGTCAAACCGTTTACTAGAATGGGCTGTAGTAATATGGTATTTGGAGTGCTCCTTTAATTCTGGTCTTGAAGGTGTATTTAGGAACAGATGAAAATACTACCATATAATACTGCTGCCACAAACAGTGTGGACCCAGCCAATGTGTGTTTGCATATGTGTAGATAGAGTTGGAAAATTATAGACAATGCAAACCATTGTAAGGATAAAAGATGAATGTGTCAATGAACACTTGTGCCTCTGTGATTCGTTGGTACCAAAATAAATAAATAAATAAATAAATAGGTTTAGTACAAACAAGACAGCTCCAGTGCTGGGAACATCCACAACATAAAAATTGTTGAGTGCAGAGTGTGTTTTTTTTTGTTTTGTTTTTTTAAAACAAAAATATCAAGGTACAATTTTTAACAGTCCTCGTTGCCCCTTGAATCATCACTATTAGCCTATAAACAAGCACAACAAACATATGCTGTCATATGAATCTTAAAAAAGTCAGATATGTTTACCCCAACTATTAAGTTGCTTTGACAAGGCTTGGAGAATTATTTCTTACATTTATCTCATTTCCTGAATGATTAAACTCACTTTGACAATAACTGCGTGGCTCAATGAAAATGAGTAGTTCCTCTTTTCCAGATTAGAAAATAATCTACATTAAGTTTGTCTAAAATCTTTTACTTTTAAAAATGTTCCAGTACATTGCTTTAAATTTGCATTTTGTTAGGAGTTTTCTTCTAAACCCAAAGCTATCAATTTAAATACCACTCTTAAGAAAGAAAGCTGATGGGCAGGCATCTAGAATTCTACTGCATGAATTGGTTTGTCTGTCAAAGTAAGGGACACTAAGTACCATAACCACTATAGCTTACTATACTTGTTCCATTTAGCTTGTATGTTGCAAGACGCCTTGGGGTGCGATTAATCTTGTGTTTATTAAACGACTTTCAAGCAGTTTCACTGAAGCCAGGGTTCATTTGGCATCCAAAGCCACCATTGGTACACATACACTTAATTTAGCATGTATTGATATATTATAAACACAAGCACACATATTACCGAGGGACTGGCTCCCACGGTTAGGGGTGTGTGAGGTCTGTACCTCTGATGTGCAAAACTCAGTAATTGCTACCTTGTGGTACTCTCTAGTGAGTAAGTGTGCAGCAATTGGGATTCTAAGCATGCATTCTGACTCAATAAATGCTGGGACCAAGGAAGAGTGCCCTTCTACAGAACTACAAAAAGGTTTTGCCTTATTGCCCCAAGTAGATTGGAATATTTCTACATATCGTGTACGACAAATACTTTTTTACGCTAATCCCAACACTGGAGGAATTGTTTCCTCAAATTATGCACATACGACAAATAGTCAGCATAAACCACACATACACACACTACATACAGCCAGCACACACCACACATATACAAACTACATACAGCTAGCACACACACACACTACATACAGCCAGCCCAGTCAGCACTCACTGCACACATGATACAGGGGAAGACTAACGGTGGGCAGTTACACTCCAGGTAATTCACAAAACTCAATTTTTGCAGAAAAAGGCCAAATGGCAAAGCCAAGTCACAAAGTCATGTTGTGACTATAGCAGAGTTGAAGATTTTTTCCAGATCCGTTATTATTGCCTCTAGTTTTCCATTCAGATTTAATTTGTGACAATATCCCTGTCAATGTCCAGGGTTCTTGGCAGGAGCCGCAATCTTTTTAATTTACATTATTTTGTGTAATGACAAGTAGATTGTCATGATGCATAAAATTGGGCTACGTCTTTAGTTCCTTGGACAAGTACATTTTAAAAAAAAAATCCACAATCCTGAAAGATAGTTTGATGGTTTTGGAGCCTATTCGTTTGCTCTCTGTAACCTTCTCCTTTGGCCTCACGCAATTGTCCAATTTATAAACCCATACAGCGGGAAGCACTCTTGATCTTGCCTTCACCAATCTCTGTACCGCCTCTAATCTCTCCAATATTCATTTTCCTCTATCTGGCCACCATCTGATGACTTTTGGCATACCGAAGACCCAATTTACACCACTGTCTGAACATCAAGCTCACAGAAACCTCCAATGTCTTGACCTAGAGCCTTTCTCCACTAATCTCCAAACTCTCTTTTTACCTATGTCAAACCTCACCTGCCCTAGTTTTGCAACCTCTTTTTACAATTTCACTCTCTCCTCTCAACTAGACATCATGGCACTTCCTACATTTAAACGCAGCAAGCACCCCCAACAACAACCTTGGCACACCAAGCTGACTCGATACCTCCAAAAATGCTCCAGAACTTCTGAACGCTGTTGGAGAAAGTCTCACTGTTATCTGACTTTCTCCACTATAAATGTATGCTACGCACATACAGCTTGGCTCTTTCCTTCATACCCTTCAATACCCTCATAACCACACTCTCCCGCGAACCCAAACGACTATTTCATACATTTAACCCTCTTTTTCACCCTACTGTTCCTCATCCGCGTACTAACTTGACTGCTTCAGACTTTGCAACTCACTTCACTGACAAGATCTATACAATCAGGGAAGAGATCTCTCATCTTTCCTCTTCCCCTTACAATACTTCCCCTAACCTCACTCCCTCTGCTGTTCTATGTTCAGCACCCGCTACAGCGGAAGAGGTTTCTGCTCTGCTCCAGTCCTCCCGCCCCACCACCCGCTCCCTATGTCCAATTCCCTCGCATGTCATCCGTACTGTCTACTTCTCTTTCTCTACCTCTCACTAAAATTCTCAAACTCTCTCTCTCCACTGGCATATTTGCATCGCCCTTCAAACATGCAACTGTAACCCCAATTCTAAAGAGGCCCAAACTTGACCCTAACTCCCCGTCTGTAACGGACCGTTTTGCACACAAGGGGTAAAAACCGTTTAGGCGATCGGCCCCCTTTCCAGAGATCCAGGCACAGCTACTGCAGAACACCAAAACTCACGAACTGGATACAAAATAGCACTCCAACTCCCGAACTGGAACCTCCCAAATAGCTGCTAGCAGACGAACAGGAAAAGCAGACGAACAGCTTACACTCCTGGCAATCAGTCTCTAACAGCATACAGTGAATCCCCCAAGAACGAGACAAGGCTCTGTGTTGAGGGTCAAGCAGTGGTCTGAGGTGCTGGCACACCCAGCCTGGTTTTTATTACAGTCTTGCAAATACAGGACCGCCCACAGGGAGGTATAAAACAACCAATCACATCACAGTTACATCCCACATATTCCCTCCCTTATCCTGAGAGGAAACTCAATTACACATACAGTTAAAACATACTTTCTACCCAACTTTCATAACTCTAAAACCATACATCACATTCACATAAAATTACATATGCACAATCAATCCATTCAGGGGAACAACATATTCAAAAATGGCACAAATCAGACAAGGGGTTCAAAAGTTAGTAAAAGTCCTTTGTGACTAAATGAAGCATGGCTTTCTGGCCCAAACCAGTTTCAGAGTCTTCTATCCTGGAGATAAGTAATTCAATTATCTCCCAGGACAGACACAAGACTCCATTAAGCACATGGTTGCAAAAGACACAAAACACTTTAAAATACATAAAGTCACCTTTTATACATAAAACACAGACATTTCACATATCCCCAGATAGCTCAGGTCTGAGCGCACATTATTAAGTGAATGGCGCTCAGACCACACGAATACAGTTTAATCGCCATGGAGCCAAAGTCTTTACAGTCAGTTTCATACGAATGGGCTCCATGGGATTCCTATCTGGGGTAGAACACATTCAAACAAATCTACCGAACCCCAGGCAGAAAAGCACGAATGAAGCTTTTCTGCAGGTAAAAAAAGATGTCTTTTAAAAGGGGCCATAGTCCAAAGGCAGCAGGCGAGCAACCAGGCTTCTCCAATGCAATGTGGCGAGATTGGTCTCGTCACATCTCTCCCCTTTTCCAAACAGACTAACAGGGTATCTGACCTCCTGCCGGTCAGTGCCCTTGTTAGTCCAGCAGCCCACCCACAAAACATAATCAACAGCACAGCCCACCCACAATAAATGGTTACTACACCTGGGTAAAGGAGAAGCTTGTCCATGTCCAGGTGCCTCACCACGGCTGTGCTGGGTACGGGTACGCTGACTTGGTGGGTTGCTGCGTGGGCAGAGACCAGCGGCACTCTGTCCTGTTGCCAGCGCTACTGGGAGGGTAGCCTGGTGGAAGCCTGGTTGTTGGAGGGGGAGACCGACTGTCTCCCCTTTAAATACACCGCTCTGCTGCTGGAGACCGACTGTCTCCCCTTTAGATACACAGTCCTGCTGCTGGAGACCGACTGTCTCCCCTTTAGATACACAGTCCTGCTGCTGGAGACCGACTGTCTCCCCTTTGGACACGCAGCTCTGTCGCTGGGGGGCAGAACCGACCGTCCCTACCCCCTGTGCTGGCAGTGTAGAGACTACGGTCCCATCTGCACCGTTGTGGGGCTTACTGTCTCCCCCTGGTACATGAAGCTGCCACTGGGGAGAGGGGGTAACAAGCTCCTCTCCCATGTATACTTCCAGCCGCGGGGGAGGGAGACCGACTGTCTCTGCTCCCAATACAGAGTCCTGCTGCTGGAGAAAGGAGACTGGGCTCTCTATTCCCGGTAGGACACTCTGCCGCTGGGGAATGGAGACTGGGCTCCCTATTCCCTGCATATCACACTGCCGCTGGGGAATGGGAGCAACCCTGCACTATTTCTGCTGCTGGGGGACAGGAGCAACTATCTCTGTCCCCTGTAACTCAGCCTGCCGCTGGGGAATGGAGCTCAGGCTCCCAATTCCCTGCAATATCTCCCGCTGGGGAATGGAGCTCGGGCTCCCAATTCCCTGCAATATCTCCTGCTGGGGGATGGAGACTGGGCTCCCAATTCCCTGCAATTTCTCCCGCTGGGGAATGGAGACTGGGCTCCCAATTCCCTGCAATTCATTCTGCTGCTGGGGGACAGGAGCAACTATCTCTGTCCCCTGTAACTCAGCCTGCCGCTGGGGAGGGAGGACGCTGCTCTCCTCTCCCTGCACTTCACACTGCCTTCCTGGCATATCACTCTGCTGCTGGGGGGCAGGAACAACTACCTCTGCCCCCTGTAACTCAGCCTGCCGCTGGGGAATGGAGCTTGGGCTCCCAATTCCCTGCAATATCTCCCGCTGGGGAATGGAGCTCGGGCTACCAATTCCCTGCAATACCGGTGGAGAGACCTCGGTCCCCTCTCCACCTGCCGCCTGGGGTTCCTCCCAGTAAATTTCAACAATATCTTCCCAGCTGAATGGGTCTGAGACTGGATCTGTCACTCTGCTGTCCTGCGGAGCCTTCCCAATGGAGTGGAAGAGATCTCGATAGTCCTGCTCCAGTTCCCACTCCAGGGTTGCTAGGTGAGCCAGGTCTTGCTCTACCTCATGGGGGTCATCCCAGTCATGCCTAGCCTCCCTCCACTCCAAGAGATCACTGAACCGGGCTTGTGTAGGGCTCCCAAATTCAGGCTCTGAAAAAGCCTCCCATAACAAGCCAGGACCATCAAACTCCTCTCCCTCTGGCTTGTCATGCTCGGCTGTCCAGGGCAGGTACTGTGCCCCATACCACCAGAGCGCCTGGTAGGCATCTTCCAGCCAAATCTCCTGCCATACCCGGTGCTCCAATTCCTTCACCCATTCATCAGGGGCTGCTCTCCCAGGAAGGGCATCCGCAGGGCCACTTGCTTCTGCAACCGCTGCTCTTCACTGGGGAGACTCTCGCCCCGCTGGTATTGTACATTATCCAGGGCCTGGTACCAGATGCCTTTCCTTAATGCATCCCGGCCATCCAGGTCCTCCTCCTCGTATGACACTGCTGGTTCCATTCTGTTGCTGTCAGGGTCGCTGTACTGAGACATGCGTTGCCCTCAAATTGTAAAATCCACGGAATGGTGTCTCCTGTAGCTGTCCTTCTGGCTGTAGGAACGATCCCGCCGCTGCCACCAATTGTAACGGACCGTTTTGCACAAAGGGGTAAAAACCGTTTAGGCGATCGGCCCCCTTTCCAGAGATACAGGCACAGCTACTGCAGAACACCAAACTCCCAAACTGGATACAAAATAGCACTCCAACTCCCGAACTGGAACCTCCCAAATAGCTGCTAGCAGACGAACAGGAAAAGCAGACAATCAGCTTACACTCCTGGCAATCAGTCTCTAACAGCATACAGTGAATCCCCCCAAGAACGAGACAAGGCTCCGTGTTGAGGGTCAAGCAGTGGTCTGAGGTGCTGGCACACCCAGCCTGGTTTTTATTACAGTCTTGCAAATACAGGACCGCCCACAGGGAGGTATAAAACAACCAATCACATCACAGTTACATCCCACATATTCCCTCCCCTTATCCTGAGAGGAAACTCAATTATACATACAGTTAAAACATACTTTCTACCCAACTTTCATAACTCTAAAACCATACATCACATTCACATAAAATTACATATGCACAATCAATCCATTCAGGGGAACAACATATTCAAAAATGGCACAAATCAGACAAGGGGTTCAAAAGTTAGTAAAAAGTCCTTTGTGACTAAATGAAGCATGGCTTTCTGGCCCAAACCAGTTTCAGAGTCTTCTATCCTGGAGATAAGTAATTCAATTATCTCCCAGGACAGACACAAGACTCCATTAAGCACATGGTTGCAAAAAGACACAAAACACTTTAAAATACATAAAGTCACCTTTTATACATAAAACACAGACATTTCACATATCCCCAGATAGCTCAGGTCTGAGCGCACATTATTAAGCGAATGGCGCTCAGACCACACGAATACAGTTTAATCGCCATGGAGCCAAAGTCTTTACAGTCAGTTTCATACGAATGGGCTCCATGGGATTCCTATCTGGGGTATAACACATTCAAACAAATCTACCGAACCCCAGGCAGAAAAGCACGAATGAAGCTTTTCTGCAGGTAAAAAAAAAAGATGTCTTTTAAAAGGGGGCCATAGTCCAAAGGCAGCAGGCGAGCAACCAGGCTTCTCCAATGCAATGTGGCGAGATTGGTCTCGTCACACCGTCCAACTACCGTCCTATCTCGCTACTGCCTTTTGCGTCCAAGATCCTTGAGAGAGTGGTGTATGCGAGATTGACAGACTTCCTCGAGTCCAAATCTCTGCTAGACCCACTTCAGTCCGGTTTAGGAGCTAAGCAATCTGTGGAAACAGCACTGACCAAAGTATCCAATGATCTACTCGCTGCAAAATCTTGTGGTCACTACTCTATCCTAATTTTCCTTGACCTTTCTGCTGCTTTTGACATGGTTGATCATCAACAGCTTCTTCTCATCCTTCGCAATATCAGTCTACAAGATATCACTCTCTGCTGGTGCTCCTCCAACGTCTTCCAGCACTCTTTCCTTGTTTCTTTTTCTGGCTCTGCTTCTTCTCCCCAACTCCTTTCTGTTGGTGTCCCTCGAGGTTCAGTTCTTGGTCCCCTACTGTTCTCTATCTATACTGCTTCCCTTGGTAAACTCATTAGCTCCTTTGGCTTCCAATATAATTTCTTTGCAGATGACACGCAAATCTACCGGTCCGCTCCTGATTTCTCCCCGTCCCTCTTAACTAGTGTCTCTGACTTTCTCTCTGCTATTTCTAACTGGATGGCTGTCCACTAACAAACTCAACTTGACCAAAATTGAAATTCTGGTCTTTCCTCCCTCAGGTGTTGCTACTCTTGTGTCTCTCTCCCTCCAAGTCAACAGTGCTACCATCCACTCCACCACACAGGCTCGCTGACTAGGTGTTCTCTTCGACTACGACCTTTCCTTCATGCCCCATGTTCAGTCTACCGCCAAATCCTGCCACTTCCATCTCAAAAACATTGCGCTCATCTAGTCGCCAGATACGACTAAGATGCTGGTCCATTTCACTGTCCTTTCTCGCCTTGACTACTGTAATCCGCTTCTCAGTGGTCTAATGTGCTACCAACATGCACCATTACAGTCCATAATGAATGCGGCGGTGAGGCTCATCTTCCTGTCCGCCCGCACCTCACCTTTCTGTCAGTCCCTACGTTCGCTTCCTGTAAGATATAGGGCTCAATTTCAAATTCTGGTTCTTGCGTTCAAATCTCTACATAATGCTGCTCCCACCTATCTATCCTCCCTAATACACAAGTATGTCCCGCCAAGGCCCTTACGCTCTGCTGAAGACTTATGTCTATCTTCTGTCCGTACTCCCACCTCTGATGCTCACCTCCAAGACTTCGAGGGCTGCACCGTTCCTATGGAACTCACTTCCATCCTCCTTTAGATGCCCACCCAGTCTCCACTCCTTCAAAAAAGTCATTAAAAAGCCACGTCTTCATAAAAGCGTATCAATTAAACGGTTAATAGCTCCCAACTGATTCCTCTCTTGCAACTGTCATTCTAATACTATCCTTACCTTTTGTGTCACTTTACCCCACTCCCTCTAGCATGTAAGCTCATTGAGTAGAGCCCTCAACCCCTCTGTTCCTGTGTGTCCAACTTGTCTCGTTACAACTACACGATTGTTCGTCCACCCACTGTAAAGCACTGCGGAATTTGTCGGCCCTATATAAATAACATAATAATAATACACAATGCAAATAAAATAAATAAATAAATAAATCAAAACAACTTCATTATACCAGGTTGCCTATGAGATGGGCCAATTTCTTCAAGCCAGTAAACAAACCACATGTTCTAAAGCTGGTGTTTAAAGATACATACGAGTGGTCCTTAAACAATCTAGTTCAGGGGTAGGTAACTTTTTAGCAGCACTGTGCCGATATAGGATTGTGATGTCCCGTAGCGTGCCGGTCCTATTTTTTTAAATTGAGGTGTGTATGCTGCCGTATTCTGCTTGTGTTATTTATACTGTAATTGCTATTTATTGTTGTATTTGTGCGTATATAAGCTATTATATTGTATATGTTCAGGAGTAGTTTGTGGTATTGTGTATGATACCTATGTATGGGGGCTGCTTGTGGAATTGTGTGTGTGTGTGGATGGATATGTCACATTGTGTGTTTGGTAGTATGTGTCGGGGCTGTTTGGGGTATTGCATGTGAGAGGCTGCATGTGGGGTTGTGTGCATGTATGTGGACTGTTAGCGGGTTACGTTTGTGCGGATTGTATGTATGTTTGTTTGTGGGCTGTTCATATTATTTGTACGAGGGGAGGGTTATTGTGCATTTCTGTGTAAATCTAGCAGTGTGGGTGGCTTCCCTGGTTTCCAGTGGGGACCAGGCTGGCCAGGTACAGGTCAAGGACAGGAGCTGCAATAGCAGGGGCAGGCTGCTCTACTACAGTGTGGATCCTCATTCACAAGTGCTGGGAGGAAGTGATCTGAGATCATTTACTCTATGTGCTGCAATACATAATTTGAGGATTGTCCTTCACCACCTTTTCGTATTAGCATTTATTGGAAGCTTCACTGGGACTCCTGATAGGCAATAGCCTGTTTGGCTGTAGCAGCCTTGAGTGCCGTGCAAAGACACCTTGAGTGCCGTGCATGGCACTAGTGCCGTAGGTTGCCTCCCCGATCTAGTTAATGAGAGTAGAATAGTGCACAGAAGATCCCACAAAATATGAGCACCCATGACTACCAAGTCCATGTGATTAGGCAAGTAGGAATTTTCAAAACTTCAGTATTTCACTACAATACAGTTTATGGGAATAAATAAATGAAGTTATCACACAAAAATGTGTCGCTCCTAATGATAGATACCTGAATAGTGTCAACTTGTGCAATAAAGAGTTAGCAAAATACAAAGAAATAGTAATATGTTAAATAACAGTTACATTTTAACAAAAGTGTACAGTGTAACATGCTCTAAAGATGTTAGAAAATAGAAATAGATAACTAGTTCCTTTCTGATTCCAGTTCAGAAACCGATGCCATGCTTTGCATGGAGGTACTTAACTCTCCCCATAGAGATGCTGATGCTACGAGGAGATGCTGATTGGCGTTTTGCTGCGCATGGCCAATAGCCTCCAAATGCTTTACTATGAGAAAGTGTTGGATTGGCTGATATCATCGAGACTGATGATCTGAGTCAAGGAGGAGCATGGGCGGGGCCAGACTTGGGCGGCACTGGAAACAGGTGAGAGGGATTACAGACGTCCAAACAAATAGAGGAATCCAGCGGATACCTTATGGGCTGGTTGAAGTGAATGGTCCTTATGACACACACTACCTGCTACTACAACATTCAAATACCCTTCTTCAACTGTATTTGCTGATATCCTACCAATTAAAAAAAAAAAAATACATACAATTCTTTTTGAGTACTCAGAAGAACTTACATATAGAGACTTTTTTTTGCTGAATTTTTTCCACGTTTTTATTTTCGGCAGTATTTAATTTATTTTTGTCTTTTCTAGAGACTCGGCTACCATTTTAGGCAGGACTAACTATATTCCTTATTATTAGTACGGAGTATGGTAGGATGTATCACAAGCATATTTCGCTTAATTCTAATCCATAATATGACCAGGATCCAGGTTTGATGAACTCTCAAATAATTGTTTTGATGAATTAGATTTTTGTATATAATTTTTCATGATCAAGTCTTTCGGATTAACTACTGGTGTTTTTTGAGATATGATGTACAGAATATGAATTCAGGTTTTTCCGATCAATTAATGATTTGTGTATATAGATGAATTTTCAGTGATGCATTAATAGATTGCCTTTAATTTATTTCTTTACACTATCCATTAAATACTTTTTGATTCTTTGCGAAATGTTTTGGAGGTCGGTATCATTTTTTTTTTTTGTAAATCACCTTTTCAACCAGAGGTAAGGGAGGCTTGGGGCTAAACAGCTATTTAGACCTATAATGTCAGGAGTACACATTTGTATTCTATAGTGTTCCTGTAATCCGCTTCTCAGTGGTCTAATGTGCTACCAACATGCACCATTACAGTCCATAATGAATGTGGCGGCGAGGCTCATCTTCCTGTCCGCCCGCACCGCCCACACCTCACCTTTCTGTCAGTCCCTACGTTCGCTTCCTATAAAATATAGAGCTCAATTTAAAATTCTGGTTCTTGCTTTCAAATCTCTACATAATGCTGCTCCCACCTATCTATCCTCCCTTATACACAAGTATGTCCCGTCTAGGCCCTTACGATCTGCTGAAGACTTACGTCTATCTTCTGTCCGCACTCCCACCTCTGATGCTCGCCTTCAAGATTTCTCGAGGGCTGCACCGTTCCTGTGGAACTCGCTTCCCTCCTCCGTTAGATGCTCACCCAGTCTCCACTCCTTCAAAAAATTGTTAAAAACCCACTTCTTCATAAAAGCTTATCAATTAAACTGTTAATAGCTCCTGACTGATTCCTCTTCTGCAACTGTCACTAGTCTAATACTATCCTTACCTTTTTGTGTCATTTTACCCCACTCCCTCTAGCATGTAAGCTCATTGAGCAGGGCCCTCAACCCCTCTGTTTCTGTGTGTCCAACTTGTCTGGTTACAACTACATGTCTGTTCGTCCACCCATTGTAAAGCGCTGCAGAATTTGACAGCGCTCTATAAATATAATAATAATAATAATAATAATAAATGGACACGCATTTTAACTACAGTTGACCAAAAATTGCCAAAGTTATACATGCAACAAATTCTCCACTCGGTGTACAGATTGCATGAAGAAAGTAACTTATAAAGCATATATATATATATAGCTGCAAAGGTGAGTCATGTTAGCCTGGTAGTCATTTAGCAGAGTGTGTCTGCTATAAAAGATAACAAATAATTAGCACTTTCATATTTTCAAAGAAACCATAGGAAAATTTACAAAATTCAGCACATCTCCCATGCCACCAGCAAGTCTCAACAAAGACTTATCCTCTCCCCAGTTCTGTGTAGCTATCTATTACAGACCAGGTGCTTGGACTCATCTCCCTGCTGTGGAATGCATTGTTGAAAGATGTTTGACCTTCATGACACTAAGCCTTAAAGATAACTTAAAAATTGACTTTTGAGTTGATGCTTTGGTAGCATGACTGGGTTTTCATATGTATTTTTTAATGTAGACTTACTTTATAGATGCCATCTACTTTATATGGAAATCATTTTGTACACTGTGCTGTGCTACTTAAAATCAAACAGAATAATGTTAAAGTAATAAATCCAACAAGCACTAATCAATTTTGCAACTCAAACACCTTTATCACCTGCTTGATAAAGTTGTGTTACTTTATACAATCATTCATATACCTAATTTATTGTAATAAGACAAACACACCCTCATCAATGTCACATACTAATAACAATCCCCCACCAGCAGTAGTCCTCCGTTATGAGGACTGTGAACACGTACACCACCGCTGCGTGCAGCACTGTCATTGGCCTCTATTTTCCTGCTAGGATGTTAGGATTTTTTAAAAAAAAAAAACAACATTTTGGTACAGAAATTTAGTTGAGTCGAACAGTGGCATGAAGTAATTGATTCCAGCTTGAAAAGAAAATTCTATTGAAGTGGTTTAGAATAACTAACATTTTTCACCCTGCACAAGTCTATTACTAGGACTAAAAGATTTGAAAGGATAACCTCAATAAAATTTAAAGGAACAAATGTGTATACTATTGTGTTAAAATCCCTTTTTATTTTGGCTATTTTTGCCTTACATTTGAATTTCTCTTTGAGTGCCTAGCTATCTCACTGTGACAGTATCTGATGGGAAAAGTTATCTTTGTTATCATCCTGATTTACGATGCCACTGCTGCTATGTCATTAGCATAGTTGTAAAGACTACATATGAGGAGTCCATAGGCGGCTAGCACAAAACCTTCTGCAAATCAGAGCTTGCACCAAGGAATTCTCAGATGCTGCTTGAGTAATTTGTGGGGCAATGTGGCTTTAATATTGGTCCATGTTGTCGGAGGAGGTTTGCAGTTGCGAGTAACTTATAAGTCTGGCTTGTAACATAGGACATAAAATCTTGAGCCCTGCTCTATACTGCAATGTCTTCTAAACTATCTTGTCATGTATGGTATTGTCCTTTATGCTGTCTTGTTCGAATTGGTAATGTCTAATAAGTAGCTTTTATGACAATTTTCACTCTTTAGTCTCGTCTGATATCATGCACCCTATACAGTCTTATAGTGAACTATAATCAAAGTTATGCAGTCTTGTATACTAGACAATCTTGCTAATTCTCTGTCAGCACCGTCAGGGACTTTATACAGTCTTGTCCTACACTGTAACATCTTCTATGCAGCCTTATTCTCCATCTGTAAATAACCTCTATACCAGCGCTTCCGAAACCAACAGTCCAGGTTTTGTTAGTATCTCCATTGGAATAAAACAGGGAAATACATAAATCCTGGACTGTTGATGGGCCATGAGGAATGGTTTGGGAACCACTCCTCTATACAGATTTGTCATTCATGGGACCGTCCTCAATAAAATCTCATCCCATTCGAAAATGTCTTCCACACAGTTTTTGTATTGTCCTAGGCTGTAAGTCCACCATAAAGCTTTGTCTGGTACGGCAATATCCATTACACAGTTTGGCCCTTTTCTATTGGCTCACTGTATATCCATGTTTTATCCAAGCTATATTTTTGTTCTATATGACAGTTACTGTAATGTTCTAGCCTAATATTGTCAAGTGACCTATGCCATGTCTGGTATACTGTTTTGTTTTATACAGTTACGCCCCCTACACGATTGTTTCACATGGTAACATCCCATATAATGTCTTTATTTATACAGTAGTGTAAACTATACCATCTTCTCAGATGCTTTTTGCCCACTGTAGTCTAGTTCTATATTTTACTGTCAGCTATGTTCTTTTACTAAGCCATAACATATGCTATGTAGTAGTCTTCTTCTGTAATGATAGCTCCTTCTTCATCCTGTAATAATAAACTTTTCTTACATGCGAACTATACATCTTGTCAGATACTGGAAATTTCCTGTTTCGTTCTTATCGTATCTTGTGATGTCTATAATTATATAGTGTACACTGTAATACCCACTATTCACACAGGTCAAACTATTGCTGTATGTTTTTTACAATTTGGTATCTCTGTGTTGCTTTATGTTCTGTAGTACTGTAATATATTGCTACCAGTTCTGTAAATCTCTTTATAAAAAAAGAATGCTTACTGAGCTTCCTCAGTCACAATCATTTCCTTTGAAAATGAGTCCACGGGCTCCTCACCAAGCTCTTAAATGTTAGACTTCACTGAAACTTTGATCTAACTTCAGGTCACCCTTAGATGGGCTAGGACTCAGGGGTAGGCAACCTTTTTTACCTTCTTGCTCCTGTTAGTTGAACACCTATCCTAATTATGTAGACATACACCCCTCTGCTCAAATCATACCTTTTTTTTTGTTTTCCTTGAGCAAACTACCAAGTCAGGGCTTCGATTGTCATGGCCAATCGGAGTTGAATCTTGCTTCACCAATACACCAGCACTCCGTCACAACAATCTGTAGCCCAAACCAAGTCTCTAAAAGTCAGCTGGCAACTACTAAGGCCTCACTTGTCACCAGTTTCATTTTCTTGCAACTTGGCATTAGTCAGGTCAGCAAAACTAAAAATCGACAGAGAATGCTGTTTTTTTCCCCCCTTCCTCTGAAATTACTCTGTGTTAAACGTATTTATTGTATATTGCTGACAAGTGTTTTCTTCTGTTATAGGTAGTCAGCTGGGTCGGGTCAGATGGCAATACCACTTGCTCCGATTATGTTTATCCTAAACATACATGATTACCTGATTTTGTTCTCCAATTATTGGCTACCATTTAAAAATGTTGAGTTATGGAAATCTTAATGCCTTTGGTGATGGGCCCATTTTAAACCATGAAATTTGCACGTTTGCCTTTCTGATCTCTAAATATGATAGTATCTCAATTTAACCAAAATACTGACCCTACTGATTCCAAGTAGTACACACGGTTTTGTGCTTTGCTTTAGTAGAGTTTTTGCCCTTTTTTTCCGGCACACCTTTGCAGTTTTTTCCTGCACATCACTGCCAATCTGGGCTTCCGTGTTACTGCTCATCAAGGATTTGGTTTTATTGTCCCCGACCACAAATTTAAGGGTTGCTAAGCCATTTATTTTTGAGTGGCGCTATATTTGGAGTTTAGTGTCTTGTCCTCTGTACTTCCCCAGGGGGATGTGCTAGGTATGTGTATTCAGTGTGTGGTTTGTGCTGGCTGTATGTGATGTGTAGTGTGTGCTAGGGATCGACTGATAATCTGTGAATCTTTTTTAAAATCAACCTGATTACACTACAGAATAGAGAGAAGAAACAAAAGGGTGAACCATTTAGTAGGGGAGCCCTTCTGAAATACGAGTAACCCAGATAAAACGTAACATGTAATTAATATAGTGTAAAAAAAATTATGTAATAAAAAATAAGAATAAGCAGAGTAAATATAGCTTCTGCTTAGATGGGAGTTAAAAAAACAAAACAAAAAAAAAACAAAACAAAAAAAACTCCTAAATCACATAAGGAAAAAAATAAAGTAATAAAGAAATATAGCCCTATTATTTGGATAACATAAAAAGATAACAGAAATAAATAAATAAGAAATCAATAATATCACTCTGTGAGTCAGTGGTAGTTAGAAGAGGAAATACTGCATAGAGTAGATACAGAATAACAGAAAATGTAACTGCTAGCAAAAGTAACAAAACGTTGCTAGTCTAATAAATAGAGAGGAGGGAAAAAGATAAATGCGGTTTGAATACTAGCAGAAGGGCAAGCTGCAGAAGATTGTATATTTAGGCAGGAGAGAAAGCTAAGAGTGGAGAGACTAGCTTCCTTACTCTGCTGTGCCTTCAAGGGCACCTCTTAATAAATACTAGTTACCACCTTCCCTCCTCTAAGTAGAGTAAATGCAGGATGTTTAGAAATCACAGAACGAAAACTGGAATAAAAAAAATAGAAGAAAAAGTGCAAATGAAATAAATATAAAATAAATCTTGTATGGGTGGTATAGTCTGAATATATTAAAGCATGTCTTCCCTCATCATAGAAGCCACACCATACAAATAACGTCCTGACGCGCGTTTCGCCGTTAAGGCTCTTCTATCTCCCTGATAAGTTTTTCTCTATCTTTATATGTCAACCTGATTTCACCAACAGCTTTCAAGCAGATATCTAGTCCTGTTAGCTCAGTGGAGCTAAACTCAAGAGGCAGACAATTGCACAAATCATCAGCCTTGCACTTGAGCTGCACTGGAAGGTTTGTGATTGGACAGCCACAGAATATATGGGTGGGGTCAGAAGGGGAGGGCATGCAATGCAGCAGACAAGAGAACAGCAGCTTTTGCAAGTTGTTTTTAGATATACCCCTAATGAAAAAAAGCATTATGAAATGCATACATGTTTTCATTGGTGATATACCTACTAAAGAATCATTTTTATTTATTTTGTATTTGAGCAGTGGAGTGTCCATCTAAGATCATTTCATTTTGTCAAAGGTATGTGTTTTGGGAAAGATGTAGAAGTGTTGCAGGCATGAGTGGTGCAGAAAATTGGAAATCTGTGGTATGTTCTGTGAAGGCAGAATGATACACTATCCAATCCACGGAACATCTAAGAGGTATGCACTTCAGTAGGTACAGACTTCAGTAATCACTCCCTCGCAATTTTGGCACATAGCAGGTTAAAGTGCATGCACTCAGTAGAGACCACCAGACTACAGGCAAGCAATTAGTGAGGTCCAAACCCGCTGGAGGTATAGACTTTATACTCCTAACATTGTGTGCCCCACAAAAAAGCTAGCCATAACTGCATGTCTTGGGTGTCTGGCAATAAAAATTCAGCATCTTTGAATTGTAGAAACCTGCCCGTCGGGTACCAGTCCAAATCCAACTTCGACACCATGAAGGGAGTACTTCAAAAACTGAAAACAGTCTGCATACCCACAAACAAGACAACAGATTTACAGGGCATAGATTTCAGAAGTTCCCTTTCCTTAAAACAAGATAAGTTTAAAATCCCTGAAAGGTTAATGATGTAATGTATCACTTACTTCAATTGATAAAAAAAAAATTATTAGAGGGCTGCTAATCATGTTGCTACCCTGACTATTCACAAAAATCAGAGGTGGTGCCTTACAGTAGTGGGTAACTCTTTAGGATTGAATAACAACATAGAAACTGAAATTTGAGCATTTTACAAAATAAAGCCTTGAGCTGCCCAATTCCCACTGAGTGAAATACAATTAATGCAGGAGTATTGGATTTTTAGAGGAGTTTACAGAAAAACAGCCGGACCACAGAACAAAGTTATATTTACTGATAATCTGTTCTTCCACTAGATGAAAACTGAGATAATATAGTGAAAGAGTGCATGTGTGTGTGTGAAGTATAACAATTATAAGACCAAATGTACATTTTAAAAACAATCACTATTTGTATGACATGAAATCTTTTTTCAGACATGAAATCTCTGTTCTGGGTGAGCTCATGCATGATTGAACAACACAATTTGATTATGTTGCTACCTAAATACTGACATTTTCAACTGAGCAACATGCAAGCCATAGGCAGGTCACAGGTTGTTTATTTATTTTTATTTTTTTTATTAAGCACAAGTAATAAATGTATCCTCTGAGTGTTATTTCAATACCACAAAAAGGCACTTTGACAGTTCTATTTTAATCAATATACACGATTAAACATTTGTTACATTCTAATATATTATTATTTCCCATCCAGACTGCACCTATTAAATTACCCATTTTGGTAACTTTATACTTTAATGCAATTACATGTTCTTTAATCCAATAATTAACTCTTGTTTCTGCAACAGTTTTACAAATTACACTAAAATACACATATCCATCCAGTTCTAAACATTATTTAACATGGCAAATAATTCCAAAAAGTTACAGACCTGCCTATCCAATTTCACATAAACCATATACTGACAATTTATGCACCAGTACTGTAATTTAAGTCTACCCTCACATGTCAGAAACATTCCACAATGTAATTATATCCCAACAAGTGGAAGTCCCTTTTTAACTCATCAAGAAAACCCCCCCATGGTACCATGATACTGGCTCTTCACCTGTTATTTCCATTCACCTTAACACAAAACAATAAACAACATATAATGGCAGGAAAACCAAACAACACATTTTATTTGGGCATCATTACCCCTACACACATACTGTACAAAAATAATCAATGGACGCTACTGATCTAATACAGATTAGTGATGGTTAACATTAGCCCTAAAGCTATTGAGAACTAGGAGACAGACTGAACATGACGGGAGTCGTAGTCCACAACGTCTCAAGGGTCATAGATTACCCATCACTGTAAATGGACAGAATAGATTAAGCAAGGGGATGATGCCCTGGCTGATATAACACCACATGCAGGGTATGCACACACATAGGGCTGAACGTACAAGTGACAGGGGGTATATGGCCCATAGGTCTTAAAGCCCATAGGTCAGGGGGTAGGCAACCTTCAGCACTCCAGATGTTGTGAACTACATCTCCAATAATGCTTTGCCAGCATTATGGCAGTCAGAGCATTAGAGGAGACGTAGATTACCTATCACTGTTAATGGACAAACAAGTTTAGACAAGGGGATGATTCCCATATAACACTACATGCAGGATATGCACACAGATGGAGCTGGATGTCCAAGTGACATGGGGGAGGGGGGTGTTGCCATGCTCTTGTAGCCCATAGGTCAGGGGGTGGGCAGCCTTCTGAGCTCCAGATGCTGTGGACTACATCTCCCATGATGCTTTGCCAGCATTGTGGCAGTCAGAGCATTATGGGAGGTGTAGTCCCACAGCCTCTGGCGTGCTGAAGGCTGCCTGCCGCTGCCATGGATGGTGAGTAGATGGTGAGGACAAGGCAGGCCCCGGCAGCCCCCTCCATCTCCCTGCTCGGTCCCAGCCATTCAGCTCGGGGCCGCCATCTTTAATATCGCTGTATGGGAGCTCAGCAGGGGGAGAGCGGTCACACGGCCCCCCCGGCCCCCCGGACAGACACAGCACACACTGACCATACGGACTCACATTTAACCGCCCGCTCGGTGGTGGATTGTTTACCGTCCACGGTGGACATGGCTGGCGCTGGGCGAGCTGCTCTCCGGGACTCCGCGGCCTTCTCCTCCCTCCTCCTCCTGCTGGCGGCTCCGGAGCGGGCTGTAAGGGGGGGAAGGAGAAGGCAGAGGGGGAGGAAGGGGGGGAGCACAGCTAGAGGCTGGCGGTGGCGGCAGCTGGCAACATGGCGGCGACAGCGCAGACTCTGCGGCTCACACAGCGCGGGAAGGGGGCTGTCCCGGCCCAGCATGCAGCGCGCCGAGCTCCGGCTGACACACGCAGTGGGTGGGCGGCTGTGACAGGAGACACTGGGGAGGGTGACAGCACCGCCCGGAGCATCATGGGACGGCACCCGGGAGGGAGGGAGGGGGGGAGAGCATGGAGCTGGCTGAACTTTCTGTACTACTTACTAAACAACTCACACCGGCCCAGAACAGGGGGAGCATGCAGGACTGACACACTGACCAAAAAGGGGGATACAGCCAGGGCTAGAGGGAATCATGGGAGATTAGTGTGAAAACCAAGCAGATATCTCATACTAATACCTCCACCCCCCCCAAATCATACCAATACCTCCACCTCCCCCAAAATCATACTAATACCCCCCATCATACTAATACCTCCACCCCCAAATCATACTAATACCCCCCAAATCATACTAATACCTCCACCTCCCCAAATCATACTAATACCCCCAAAATCATACTAATACCTCCACCTCCCCAAAATCATACTAATACCCCCAAAATCATAATACCTCCACCTCCCCAAATCATACTAATACCTCCACCCAAATCATACTAATACCTCCACCCAAATCATACTAATAACTAATACCTCCACCCAAATCATACTAATACCTCCACCCAAATCATACTAATACCTCCCCAAATCATACTAATACCCCCCAAATCATACTAATACCTCCACCCAAATCATACTAATACCCCCAAATCATACTAATACCTCCACCTCCAAATCATACCCACCTCCACCAAATCATACTAATACCCCCAAATCATACTAATACCTCCACCCAAATCATACTAATACCTCCACCCAAATCATACTAATACCCCCCCAAATCATACTAATACCTCCACCCAAATCATACTAATACCTCCACCTCCCCCCAAATCATACTAATTCCTCCACCTCCCCCCAATCATACTAATACCTCCATCTCCCCCAGCCATACTAGTACCTCCATCTCTCTCTAATCATACTGATACCTCCATCTCTCTCTAATCATACTGATACCTCCATCTTCCCTCAGCCATACTGATACATCTATCAGTCCCAGGCATGCCATACACCCATCTCTTCCCATGCAATAACCATACCAATATCTCTGTTGTGCCCTATATCTTTTTCCTCAGTAAAAACCTTTTCCTCCCTGCATATATCGCCAGTCATACCCCCTTCATCCATTCTGCTGCTCCTGAGATGCCCCATACCACCCACAGTTGTTTCTCCAGCCATATCCCATCACCCTTATCTACAGCCCCATAGATCTCACCAAACTCTTTTTTGGCATATACCCCCTCCTTTCCCAAGCATGCACCATACTCTTTGCCACTCTCCCCTCTTTCTCAGTCATGTCCATTTCAGTCAAGCAAACAATGCAAAAGGTGCTGGAGTGGTGGTAGATACAGTTAGGTCTGGAAATATCTTGACACCGACACAAGTTTTGTTATTTTGGCTGTTTAAATGCATTTAAGTTATAGTTTAATGAATAAGGACTTAAAGTGCAGTCCCTCTGCTTTAATTTGAGGGTATTCACATCCAATTGGAGGAAATGTTTAGAAATTACAGCTCTTTAATATGTAGCCCCCTCTTTTTTCAAGGGATCAAAGGTAATTGGACAATTGACTCAAAAGTGGTTTCATGGACAGGTGTGAGCACTTCCTTCATTATTTCTTTATCAATTAAACAGGTGAAAGATCTGGAGCTGATTCCAGATGTGCCATTCATATATGGAAGCTGTGGCTTCCATATATGAATTAATGAGCACTCAAAGAAAATAATACAACAAACCCTAGACTGCCAAATAAAAATTCATTAGAGATAGCAGGGACATTAGGAGTGACCAAATCAACAATTTGGTACATTCTAAAAAAAAAAAAGAATGCTCTGGTGAGCTCTGCAACACAAAAAGGCCTGGAGGATTGTAGGATCCTTTCCATGGTAAAGAAAAACTCCATTGCAACATACAGCCAAGTGAAGAACATTGTCCAGGAGGCAGACATATCATTAATCTAAGATCAACCCGTACTAGAATGATGAGAAGAAAAAAGTGTGGAGAAGGCTTGGAACAGCTCATGGTCAGCAGCCGGATGTATTCTAAAGTGTGTAGGAACATATTGTCAGCTCAGATTTAACAAATTCAGCGACGTTTATGAGACGGCGCTTCACTTTACAGTTGAAGAATGACCAAAAAAATACATCAAAAGCAACCTGGGAGTTTTTAACACAAAGAAGTGGAATGTTCTGCAATGGCCAAGTCAATCACACTTATCTGAACCTGATCAAGCATGCATTTCACTTGCTGAAGACAAAAGTTAAGGCAGAAAGACATGCAAACAAGCAACAACTGAAGACAGCTGCAGTAAATGCCTAGCACAGCATCCGAAACGAGGAAACGCAACATTTGGCGATGCCCATGCGTCAAATGATTCTCGACAATGTTTTACAAATTAACACTTTATGATTGTGTTAATTTGTCCAATTACATCTGAGCTGCCAAAATAAGTGGACTGTGTTGGAAAATTGTTGCAAGTCCTAAATGTTTCATATGATATTTTTGTTCAACCCCTCAAATTAAAGCTGAAAGAGAGCCAATATTACAAAAGCTGTGTCCGTGTCCAAATATTTTCAGACCTAACAGTATAATGTATATTCTGAAACCCCTTGTCTGTTTCCACCAAGAGGTACACAGCTTAAATGGTTGATATAAACCATAGTGGTACAAACTCTAAATTCATTTTTCCATATACAGTGTAATGAAAATCCAAAGTGTCAGTCCAAAATCTGGGGTTCAGAATCAACTTCTTACATTGTTCACCCTTTCTCCATGCCACTAGGCTCGTACAGAAGCTACTGATGCAACATGGTGCCTTTAACATTGTTTGCCTAGCAGCCCAAATTTCTTCAGTGGTTTCTCACAACCATCAACCAAGCACTGGATTGAGTGATAAATAGCACTCCTACCCTCGAACTCAAACACTAAACAAGAATTTGTGAAGAATAAAGACAACTGCCTTATATAGGAAAACACAAGTTATTAATAGATGACAATGCTTGTGATTGTGGACCATAAGAAAACTTAAGAGACTGATCTGGAAGACCCTCCTGTCCTAGAACCATAGGGCAACACTCATATAAGAAGGAATTTAATGAGCACATCCCAGCTAAAGTCCAGGCACACAAAGTAAAATATCCAAACCATTTTAAACCTCTACCAACATTCAAACACAATATCTGGGATCAGCGACACAGAGGCCAGTTAGAGTCACACAGGGCCCATAGTCTCTATGAATGATACTAGCCTGCTGCCCGAAAAGTCATACAATCTTGTTTTAGTCCAAGGTAATTTAATATACATTTAGTCCATTATCCATCACAGCAGCGTATCTCGAAAAGCAACAAATACCAGGTGGTGCAATGTATCTTTTTATTATTTTTTTTTTAAGTACAGAATGTATTATTTACAATGTTTTAAAAAAAAAACATTGTGATCTCACACGTCTCAATGAGTACTATAGCTGCCAGCGTCAGCTTGCTTATGTTCACTTTGTCTCTCTCTTCTGGGTCACAGATGGTCCACGCAGTAGTGTACATGTGGCTAGCAGTGGCTTGCCCATATGATCATTTAGACCAGCACTACACCAGATAATTGTTTCAATAAGAAAAAATAAATAAATAAATAAATATATATATATATATAAATTAAACAAATATAACCTTAATAGAAAAAAACATAGTTGTATCTGTCTCTTTAATCTTCTGCAATTTTTCCTCATTCTATTCTTTCACATCATGAACTGTCTCACTGATGAGGAGAAGTCTCACTTACTGATGTCCGGAGAAGCCATTGAGAGCAACTGGGCATATGAAGATCTTTGGTAATTTGTGGGAAATATCCAGTGTGAATATGGGACCCTTGCACAGGAAGGATGATGCTTTTTTTTTTTTTTGTCAATCTTTATTTACTTAGTGCAGTGGGTTACAAAAAGTCTTGCCATGCCCCAACAACTAAGTAAGCCTATCTAGGGGTCAAGTCCCGGGGAATAAAGTTTGGGAACTTGCCCAAGATCCACCTTCCCCCCCCCAAAAAAATATACACTTGTACGCATATATAAATGCACACACACTCACAGACACACACACTCACTCATACACACACTGACACACACTCACATACACTCAGACACACACTCACGGACACACACACAGATACACACACATACATTCACAGACACACAAATTATTATTTTTTAAAATGTCCACCTACCCTCCCTACCTGGAGAGCTGGCGTGGACCTGTCCCTGGGGTCCAGTGGGGCTTCAGTGAGGTGGGCGCCTGTCTCCTTGTCTCGCCACGCAGGCTGTCTACTGATGCCGGGAGCCGGAATATAACGTCATATTCCGACTCCCGGCATCAGCAAATGGCGCGTGAGGGAGCAGAGCAGAGAGAACACAGCTCCTTCGCCACATCTGACAGGGAGACAGGCGCCCAATGGGGGCGTCCATCAGGCCCCCTGCAGGAGCAACGGGAACGGTGTTCCTGCTGTAAAAAAGTGCAGGAACGCCGTTCCCACGCTTTCCTGCAGGACCCGAGCCCTGAGCTTATCAACGAGATAAATTATAACATTGGTGTGGCATCGAGAGTAGTAGCAGATTTTTATAGAAATAATAAGAACAAGAATTTCACATATGCATACAAGAATACATGTTTACATATCCGGCTAGGCGACATGCCCGATAATGCTACAATGACAGCGTCAGAGCATCGAGTGCTAGACATCGCAATTTGTAAGTCGTGAAAATAGCTTGATAACATGCTAAGTCAAATTACTTAGAATTGAAACAACTGGGACAGTAGATAACACTATACCTCTGCTCTAGTGGAAATTAAATTAAAAGAAATAGCCAACTTCATCAACGGCTTGACTTCGACTGTGAGCCCTTTGCATGTTTCACCTGATTCCCAAAAGCTGCAATACATAAGTGCAACTAGTTAGGTCCATGTAGGGTACTGCAGCACGATACCTGGATGGGGCATCCCTCCAGCCCCAGGCTTGAATGAGAGCCAACATCAATAGGCCACAGACACGA